TAAAGACACCAGATTAAAGTACTGACTGATGTAATACAAGCTGACGCTGGAGTCCGACACCGAAAACAGCGTGCGACTCACGTGGAACGGCAGCCAACACGAGATGAACACCAGCACGATCACCACTGCGAACACAACAACAAACAAGAAGAACAACAACACGTTCAAAATGAGCTTCAGTAGTTCTGCTAAAAATGACAAATCTCTTGATTTACTCGATGTAGTTACAAATCCATATGCTCTTATATTCACATGCACCAGTAATTGTGAAGAATGAATTGTGCTTTCTATTCAGTTGAAAGAGAACTTTTTTGACATGTAGAAATGATTGAAATATCGCAAATGTAGTATATTAACAAGATTTGCATATCGCAATAACTGGGGTCAACTGGGGAGAAAATCGCTCACTGCGGTTTGCTGAATAACTTTTGTAGCTTTAATACGAATCAGGATATATTTAATTCATAGAGTGAAAACTAAGCAGTGTTTTATTTGTACATTTGATTATTCAGTTTCTGTTGTTAAATAACTCTAGTGTAGGATAACCTGAACCCTGTGCTTTACACTGATGTTAAAATAACACGTCTTAAGGCCAATTTATACTTCTGCGTCGAGGGTACACCGTAATGTACGGCGTTGGCTACGGCGTTGTGAGCATTTACACTTCTGCATTCAGGTCTTGGTTGCTCTGCAGTACTGCTCCGAAACGCTAGTTGGCGGCAGAGGGTTTTAATGTTCCATTGTGTTCCTCGCGGCTAGGTTACTACAAGCAATAGCGACTGAAAGAGAGCAGATCATGTTGGAGTTGGAGCTTATTGAGGTGGAAAAACAGTTAATTTTAGTGAAATTACTAAAACTGAAAGGCAGAAACGAGAGAAGACGTCGGAGGAGATGGTACGTGCGGAAATGCGATGCTACCAAGCCGACCAATCACAGACCTTGCGGTCCGCGCCGTCGCGATGTGTAGTTACATTTTTGAAGAGGTGCGCGTCAGGCTACGGCGAAGGGTACGCGGTATGGGACGCGTCTGTGCGTATGCTAAGCCGTACCTACCGCGGAAGTATAAATTGGCCTTTATGCGACAGTAAAACACTGCAGCAAAAATAATGTGAGACGTGTATATAGGTTATATAATTGTAAAGATATTTGAAGATAATTTAAGTTGATTTTACACACTTTAAGCATGATCGTATCGCATATCACATTATTTAATGAGTTGTCGCATATCGCACTTTTCTTCAATATCGTGCAGCCCTACATGCTCCAAAAAAGACAACGTTTCATCCGAAAGCTTGGCTTTGTGTGAGAAACTAATGCAGGTTGGAGCTCATTCTCTGCGCAAAACAATTCTGATGTGGCACATTTTGATTGGTTGTGAAAATTCGTTCAAAAAAAACACTTTAACTTTAACTTTCAGCTATAGTTTCCAAACAATATTTCTCATCTTTTATTTGAGTTTAACTTAATGTACTGAAACTGAAATAAAAATGTCTCCTCTGCGCTCACCCATCATCCGCAGGGTCTGGCGGTGTGTCTTGTCCCGGTGCAGGTGTGCGCGCAGGTGCAGGCGGCGGGCGATCAGGCCGTACAGGAGAGACAGGACCGCGAGCGGGCAAATGAAGTAGAGGTTGGAGAGCCACAGCATGGCTTTGAGGAGGCCTGAGGTCTGAGCGAACTGTGTGCATCGACACTCACTGGCTCCGCCCTCGAGCTGCTCCACCCCGACCAGAGCCAGCGCGGGCCCGGCACTGAGCGACGCCACGGCCCACAGCCCCGCGATCAGCACGCGCACACGCCCCCGGGTGACCAGCATGCGCGCGCGGAGAGGGAAACACACGGCTAGGTATCGCTCCGCCCCCAGAGCCGTCATGTGGAGGATGGAGGAGAAGGTGCAACACTCGCCCACAAACACCGAGAGTTTGCACACGGCGTCGCCCAGGAGCCACGGACGAAACCGCCACAACTGCAAGAGTGAAGAACAACATACGTTAGAGCGGTGGTTGATTACGATTTCACTTTCTAACTTTAGTTAGTGTGTAATGTCGCTGTTTGAGCGTCAACAACATCTGCAAAGTTACGACGCTCAAAGTTCAAAGCAAAGGGAGATCTTTTATTTGACAGAAATCGCTTTTTAAGGACTACAACAAACGCCTGGAAGGGACTAGTGACATCATCACTAACCCTAACATTTACATAAAAACAACAACATACCACTCTGAAACTTCCTGTGAAATCCGAGCTTGAAATCCGTTCAGCACGATACTGTAGTTCGTTAGCATCGTCAGGGTCTGAATCGGGCTCGAAATGGTTGGAAATTGACAGCATTGGTAATATTTACATTACTGTTATGAAGGGGCGGGACTGCAATTAAAATGACTTTTGTGATTAAAACATTGTTTGCGATTAAAGCAACTTTTGCGAATAAAACGACTTTTGCGAGTAATACGACTTTTGAGAGTAAAACGACTTTTGCGATTGAAACGGTGTTTGCGATTAAAACATTCTTTGCGATTAAAACTACTTTTGCAAATAAAACGACTTTTGCGAGTAATACGACTTTTGAGAGTAAAACGACTTTTGCGATTGAAACGGTGTTTGCGATTAAAACATTCTTTGCGATTAAAACTACTTTTGCAAATAAAACGACTTTTGCGAGTAATACGACTTTTGAGAGTAAAACGACTTTTGCGCTTAAAACGGCGTTTGCGATTAAAACGACTTTTGCGAATAAAACGACTTTTGCGAGTAAAATGACTTTTGCGATTAAAACGACTTTTGCGAATAAAACGACTTTTGCGAGTAATACGACTTTTGCGAGTAAAACGACTTTTGCGAGTAAAACGGCGTTTGCGATTAAAACATTGTTTGCGATTAAAACGACTTTTGCGAGTAAACGACTTTTGCGAGTAAAACGTCCAACGGTGAGTTTCAGTGCAGCCTCGACACGATCCAGCCGAGGAATAAGAGTCTGATCTAGGCAAACCAGACGACATTTAGAACAAATACAGACATTTATATAGTTTTTAACCACCAATGCTTGTCTTGCACGAGCTTTGATGCGACATACATTATGTAATCAGGTTGAAAGTTCATGCGTGTTTCGGTTCAGAAATGTAGAATACACCTAAAATCTCATTTTCTCCTCCTTTCTTGTCTGACATCATTACTATACCTTTTATTTTGTATTAAATGGTGCTTGATATAGTCTTCACGTTGGCTTTGTAAACACTAGGTCGGTTCTTCCTCCTACGTCCCGCTTGACCTTTCAACCTGATTACGTAATGTGTGTCGCATCACAGCTTGTGCAAGATGAGCATTAGTAGTTAAAAAGTATATAATGTTTATTTTGTTTGTATTTTTGTATCAGACTCTTATTCCTCGATTGGATCGTGTCGAGACTCTGAAGCTGCACTGAAACTCACCGTTGGACCCCATTGAAGTCCATTATAGAGAAACACCCTGGAGTGAGTTCCTCAAAAACCTTCATTTCTTTTCCACAGGAGAACGAAAGACATGAACATCTTGGATGTCGTGGAGGAGAGTAAATGTGGCGTGAACACTGGAGTACCTTATAGAGGTCGAGCGGCATCAGGAGCAGGATCAGGACGTCGGACAGGGCCATGCTGCTCAGGTACAGGTACGTGGTGCTCCGCATCTGTGGGCGTCGCCACACCACCAGGATCGTCAGGGCGTTTCCCAGAAGGCCGAGCAGCAGCAGCGGGACACACAGCGCCGTGACCACCACGAGCACGGTGTCATCGAAGAGAGACAGGTCTTCCCAGTCTTCCCATTCCTCCCAGTCCGACCTGTTCCCACAGTTCAGGCACCAGCCGGACCCAGACGCGTCCTCCAGCTCATCCATGCCGAGCTCAGAGCGGGCGCCTCATCAGGACTGAGGTCAGGACCGAGATGATGCCGAACCTTATTGAATCTCTTCTGTCTCTCTGTGACGCTCACCACTGGAGATCAGTGCCACATCCACGGCCAGAGGAAGAGATCGAATTCACTCAATCACACACACACACACACACAGTCTGGTGCGCTATCTTTGTGGGGGCTCTCCACAGATATAATGGTTTTTATACTGTACAAACTGTATTCTCTCCTCTTACATTAACCCTACACATCACACACACACACACACACACACACACACACTAACCCGACCCCTAAGTCTACCTATCTCTCACTCACACACACACACATTAACCCGACCCCTAAATCTACCCATCTCTCACATACACACACACAAACCCAACCCCTTAATCTACCCATCACACACACACACACACACACACACACACAGGATTAACACAATAACTAATAAAACAGGAAAACTACTTTACGCCATTTAGATTTTTTTTTGCATTGTTTTCATGACAATTTAAACCCTCCTGATGAACAAAAATCGTATTGGTATTAGTATCAGCATAAAATAAACATTTAAATTAAGTACATTTGCATGTAAAGCAAGTATGCAAGTGCTTAGGTAGAAAAATGATTTAAGTATTTGTAGTACCTAATTAATAATGTATAATTAATAAAAAAGGGTTACATTATTTATTTTAGTTATTTAGTTATTTAACAGGGACAATGTACATTAATTAACATTACTGTAAATGCACCAGAATTAGCCAAAAGGCTATTTTTCATCTGTTGTCCCTGGACAGATATTAAAATTGTCTACCTAAAATGAACAACAATGAAAGATTACAAGATTAAAGATCTAAATTAAAAGATTATCTCTATAATCAAGATAATATAGGGGGTTAATGAGCTTAAAAAAAGTCCAGATGCTAAAAAAAAGCCTAAGTTACATCATGCTAAATATTATTCCTGATTTCTTGTGATTTACTTTAAAGTCTATTTTAACTCTGAAATCAGCGTGTGATGTCTGTGCTCTTGCGGTGATTGATTGTTTTAACGACCTGAAGATGGTGTGTGAAACACTTCTTTGAGCAAGTGTGTGTGTGTGTGTGTACAATCACTCAATGCCAATCTCTCTTTAAATAATCACATATTTATTGCTATTAAATTAATTCACCATGGGCTAAAAAATACATTAATACACAATAAAGCTTACAATACAAACTCACACACACACTTCATGATTCCCAGACTTTGTGTAGATGATGTAGGTGAAAGGTTGTGTGGGCGGGTCTAGGAGCAGGAAGTGGGCGGGGCAAAGGGATGTTGTTGCCTGGCAACAGCGGAGTCTCTCTGAGCATCTTGTCAGCACTGAAGAACTGCAGTACATCAGGGGCCTCTAGTGGCGGACACGGGAACTACACACAGCAAACAGAAAACACATTATTCAAATCTGCACATAAGCACGATTCAACACACTATATATCATAACCATTTCATGAAATTCATGTGTGTTATTTTTATGTTTATTTGAGGTTAAATTCATATCAAAATATGCCAAACTTCCATTACTACTCCTGAATAGGATCTGTACTTCATAAATTGTATGGAAATTATGGTTGAGATCACTCAAACACATATGGAAATGGAGGCGCCCTTATAAAGGCAGTAATGGTGTGCCCTAGTGGAAGTGTTCGGTAGTACACACACACACACACTCACTGAAAACTAAGTTTTTGAGATATTAACCTAAAGTTTGAAACACAACTTCAGAGTTTTGGATTTGATTTTCTTGCGATTTTAGAGTCGCCCAGGTTTTGAAAATATATATTTTATATAAAATATGAATAATTACATTTTTACATTGTACATTTTCATAAACTTAAAATTTCTTCATTTCACGTTCTTTCTTTATTGATTTTCTACACAAATCTGCCAAATGTCTTCTTTAAAACAAGACCAATCTTATATCTATATTCCAAAGCATTCTTGAATTACAATCATGTTTATGTTTATTCAAAAAAGGGGGCGTGGCACTTAACCATAAAATCATTTTTAATCATCACTTCTCCGTCTGACTTTGTTTTTTATTGTTTATATTAATGTACAGCAGTGGTTTTATTGCTTTATTAAACCCTCCAGCAGTTGGAGAACCCACACTGAAAACTGCTATTAACAAGATGCAAACAGAAGTCTGACCTTATTGGTCTGGTTTGTGGTGGGCGGGGCCAGTGCTGGCCTATCCTGTAGAGCCTGGCTGATGAGCTGATCGCGTGATAGGCTGACGCTAACTAAGGCCCGGTAAAGGTGCTGAGAGCGAGGGAAGTTCAGCCCTGTAGAAAACCAGAAAAAATACACTATTTATTAAAGCATTTAAGCTCCAGTGTGTGTGAACAATAAGACGATCAGGTTTACTAATGCATTTAACAGTGTGTGTGAACAATAAAACATTTATTTTATTATATTATATTATATTTCAGATAGTTGCCAAAGCAACATTTTTCATTTTAATTTAGTGTAACTTGATGTGATAAAATAACTAAGAAAATAAAAATAAATTAAAAAAACTATTTAAAAATAACTTAAAATATGAAACCTAATCCACTATATTTCGATTTTTTTTTGCACTGTTTGCATAAGAGTTAAGCACAAATAAACCCCTCAAAAAACACAAATCTCATTTTTATTAGTTTCAGACAAAAAAAAAAGTCAATTTGCATGTGAAGTATAAATTATAGTAGCATTTGTTGTACTCAATTTATGTATGATTAACAACAACAACAAACTCACATTGCATAAAAAAAGATTTAAATAGTGAAGTATATATAGAAGTACAGTAAACTATAGTTGGATTTGTAGCACTCAAATGAACTAATGTATAATTTAATTTAAAATTTAGTTAAATAAAAAAAATCATATTACAGAATTTCGGGGGTTTGTTTTGAGCTTATTGCAAAAAATAGCCACGATGCAACAATCATAATCCTCAAAATATAAGCTTCTTCTTCATAAGTAATATAATTTTTGAAATTGGTGTGAAGTATATCTTATGATTTTTATGAGATTCAGATTAAAGTCGTGGTAAATGATTAGTGAATTGGAGCTCTTGTAGCTCCGCCCCCTGTGCCGGGAGCAGCAGCTCATTTGCATTTAAAGGGACACACACACAAACGGTGTGTTTTTGCTCACCCTCAAAAAGTGACAACTTTAACATGCTATATGAAAATATCTGTGGGGTATGTTGAGCTCTAACTTCACACACACACACACTCTGAGGAGATCAGATTAATCGTACATCTTGTGAAAAGGCCGTTAATGTTGTGTAGTCTCACCCTCTGCTGCTTTAGCGCTGATGTGGTTCTTCGTGAGCGTTGAACTCTGTAACTTCTCTTTAACGGCTTTCTCGGGATCGAACGCCTGTTCCGCCACTTCCTGAAGCTCCGCCCTCAGTGCCAGGGTGGTGTTTAGCTCCGCCCCTTCCAGAAGCTCAGCCCCTTGTGCCAGAGTCATGTTTAGCTCCTCCCCTTCTGTCAGCCGTCCATCACACACTCCGCTCGTAACCCGATCCCTCCCTTTAGCGGATTCATGACCTGAATGACAAGCACATATAGACTCACTCATGACACACACAGAAATGAATCATGTGACCAAAAGTGTGGACGATATCAGTTTACAGAAAAAGACCAAGCTTTAAATCTACTCCTGGGTGAATCTCTTATTTTTTTGCAGTGCATTTGACATGTTTCTCATTTAAAAAATAAACATTTGGTTTCCCTTTCACCCAATATTGCCCCGTGATGTCTCATCAGAGCGGCGGTGTTCGTTTTACCGTGCTTGTCTTTGTTTTGAGGTCTCCGGGCTTGAATGTTTCTGGGTTCTGGGATCACCGGATGAACGCTGCACTGCGGACTCACATTAAAACGCACCTGAAACACACACACACACACACTTACATGCATCTAGCAGTCACTTCCACCCAAAGCGATTTGCGTTTAAGGCAAACAATTGATCAGTACAAAGACATCACAATGACTGGATCTTTTAAGTTTCAACTCATTTGTAGAGTTAAACAAATATGGAAAAGTGTCAACAGTAACATTTTTTTGTTTTTTTTTGGAAGAATGAGACAGTAAATACATCCGTGCAAATACACATTCTCCACAAATACAGTACGCATTAATAAAGTGATAAATAACCCTGAATATTCCTTCCCCAAGTTAATTAATCACAGTACTATAAGATGATTGAAACGTTATGTTTAAATGTGTAAATGATGAGGGGGTCTCTAATTAAATGTTGCATAAACTTCCAGAAAATAAATCTGAACATCAGATAATAATGGATTGCATACTTTACTTGGGCATGCAAGCAGACGTATTTTTACTGGGTGTATTGTATTGCTTATATGTACAATCTTTTGCAGAGGGATTATATATTTATTATGGTACTTATCTTTTTTTCATTATTGTACTGTATTTTTATTTGGATATTATTTATTGTATCATTGTATAACAACAATTTATTTATTCATTTATTTACTCATTTATTTATTTCATAGCTGTCAACATTGAACACTGAAAATAAGGGAGTTTTCCCGGGATCCATCCCCAAAATAAGGGATTTTTTTTTTTTTACACGATTCTTACCCACAAACTTTAAAAAATAAAGCACTAATCCTTAAAAGTCTAAAGAGTTAATAACTAGCCTAGAAACTAGTGTCATTTAAAGAAAAAAAAAAAAATCTACATTTGGATTAGCGGTGTGTTGCTCTTGCCTTTGCGACAACAATTTCAACTGTTATCACATCTTCCAAAACCCACAAAATAGGGAAGTGGGCTGTCTGTTTATTTCAATTACATTTACACATTTTGTGTAGTTTTAAAGAGCCTATATATTTAGCCTGGTGGTGGGCCGTCACTCAGAAGACACACTGTTGTTATTGTAGCCTATGGTATCTTTATATCCTCCTGAGGCCCAGAACGTTTTTTTCCAAAAGTTTTTTCTTCTTCTTCGTGTAATCACATTGTTAAGAGCATAAGAAACAAATGGAAAAAAAGAAAAGATATTTTATTCATATGTTATATGACCTTAAATTATATATAGGCAAAACTAATGGCAATATAAATCGATTATTATAATTATTATTTGTTTAAATTACATTGATATCTGAATTTATGTAAAAACCTTGACTTTCAAACATCAAAATGTAAAATGTAGGCTATTCGAGTACAAAATGACATATAAACATCGTTTCCTATTTTTTATTTATTTTTTTTTGCCTGGAAAAGCTTTCAACACGCTTGCATATCGCTTGAAATAATAGGCGTCAGTTCTATTTCTAGCATACACGCGTTTTCTGGAGACGCGCGTGTCACGCAGGCAGTGTGCAAGCTCTAATCTGTTAACATGGGAGCCGAAATAAAAACGGACACGCCACACAGCCAGTGTGTCTCCGGTCAGCGCGCGCGGCGCCGCATCCGAGGATAAACGACTTCAAGCCGAATCAGCCCGAGCTCGAACGTCTCACACAATCATAGTAAAAAAACGGGATATTTTACGGGAAGATACTAAAACGGGAAGACAGCGGGAAAAGAGCAAAAATACGTGAGAAACCCGGAAAAAACGGGAGGGTTGACAGCTATGATTTATTTATTTATTTATTTATAATTTGTGCATTATTGGCTGGTGAGGGGTGGGGGGCTAGTTTCGAGGGAGCTTTGTTGGAGTGCGAGTGTGTGTGTGGGTTTGTTCTTTTGTGTTTGAAATATCGTTTATATTTTACTCTGTATCATCTTGTTTTGTTTGTCATTATTGTAAGGTCCCCCTCGAAAATGAGATGGTACATCTCAAGGGGCTATCCTTGAAATAAAGAATAAAAGAATAAATCCAGATTTTAAACTTCTTGTTTGATTGTGATTTCATATTAGAGTTAAAGGTTTGTAGTTTGTACTGAGGGGATTTCTCTTTTTATAATTTGATAAATCAGAAAATACCATTAATAGACAGAAAAAATATATTTGCAGCATATGTTTATAAAATCAGTGTGAGTGATATATGAACAAACCCCTCAGTAAAAACCTTCAGAATATAGACAGGAATAACACTGTAAAGTTTGGTGCCGCTGAAGTGGAGAATAAACTCATTTATAGAAATATGGCCTTTAGAAATATGTATTGTAACTGAAATCTAAAGGCGCAAATACATAAAGTGTAATAAAATAAACACTTAAAATTGCATTTTGGATGTTTTCTTTCCACTAGTCTGAAAGAAGACTATTGACTTTTAATTACAAGATCGACTAGTTCACGAGAAAAACAATGCACACACACACTGTGTGAGAGAGAGTGTGTGTGTGAGTGAGAGTGTGTGACACACACACACACACACACAGTAACTGTGAAATCAAACCCTCCAGCATCATCTAGTGGAGACTCAGAACTCCCAGTGAAACGGGTTTATCTATCTCCTGTTGAAACATGTCTGTGGTGTATTTATCTGTGAAACCTGTCTGCGGTGTGTGTCTGCTGTCCGCTCGGGGGTGAGAGAGACAGACAGGTCCAGGTCGGGACAGATGAGTTCTGTGTCCTGAACCGGCTCGACCCGCAGAGGTTCTGGAGCCACACGGACATGAGGTTCTCCTGTCGACTCCATCACACATCAGTCTGACACACAGAGAGAGAGAGAGAGACATCATCAACACAATATACACACAAGTATCACTCGCACACTACTATTAAAAATACATATATAGAACCAGTCAAAACAAACATTACAATTTTTTATGTTTTTGAAAAAGTCTCTTAAGCTCACCAAGACTATATTTATTTGATCTAAACAGGAATATTGTGAAATTTTAAATCATCTGTTTTATATGTGAATATACAATAAAGTGTAATTTATTCCTGTGATCAAAGCATCATTACTCCAGTCTGCAGTGTCACATGATCCTTCACAAATCACTCTAATATTTTGTACTCAATTATTATAAATTATTAGGCCTATTGGTGCTCAATTATTAATAATGGTTCTTATTTGATATCATTGTTGAAAACCATTTTTGCATGTTTAATATTTTTCCGGAAACTGATACATTTTTGTCTATGGATTCTTTGATGAATTGAAAGGTGAAAAGAGCAGCATTCATTTAAAATAGAAATCTTTTGTAACAATATAAATGTCTTTACGGCCTCCTTTGGTCAATTAAAAGCATGGACACATTAAATATTTAAGATATATAGATGCCTTAGGGCTTATATATATATATATATATATATATATATATATATATATATATATATATATATATATATATATATATATATATTTACAGTGATGTAAATAAGTTTGGACACCCATGCTAAAGTTGCCTATAAAGAGGAATAAAAAAAATCATCTTTTGGATATTGATCTTAATGCCTTAATTAGAAAAATAAGGAAAACTCCAACCTTTAAGGACACCAATTTTCTTTGTGAATGAATAATGTATCAGAAATAAATAAATGTTTTTCCTTAAAATACAGGGTGCATAACTCAGGGCACCCCTATGTTAAATTCCCATAGAGTCAGGCAGATTTTTATTTTTAAAAGCCAGTTATTTCATGGATCCAGGATAATATATTTTAATATATATATTAAAATATCCCCACATCATCACACACCATTCACCACACCTAGAGATTGGCATGGGGTACTTTCCATAAGATCATCTTTCAATGCAAATCAAACCAGCTATTAGGCTAACTGAAGTAAAACCATGCCAATCTCTCGGTGTGGTGGAAGGTGTGTGATGATGTGGGGATATTTTAATATATATTAAAATATATTATCCTGGATCCATGAAATAACTGGCTTTTAAAAATAAAAATCTGCCTGACTCTATGGGAATTTAACATAGGGGTGCCCTGACTTATGCATCCTGTATTTTAAGAAAAAACATTTATTTATTTATGATACATTATTCATTCACAAAGAAAATTGGTGTCCTTAAAGGTTGGAGTTTTCCTCATTTTTCTAATTAAGGCATTAAGATCAATATCCAAACGATGATTTTTTATTCCTCTTTTTAGGCAACTTTAGAATGGGTGTCCAAACTTATTCACATCACTGAATATATATATATATTATAACGGTAACACTTTACAATAAGGTTCGTTAGTTAACATTAGTTAACTACATTAGTTAACATGAACTAATAATGAATAGCACATATACAGCATTTGTTAATCTTTGTTAATGTTATTTTCAACATTTACTAATACTTGATTAAAATCTTGTTAACATTAGTTAATGCACCGTGAACTAACATGAACAAAGATGAACAAATGCAGTAACAAATGTATTGCTCATGGTTAGTGCATGTTAGTAAATACATTAACTAATGTTAACTAATGAACCTTATTGTAAAGTGTTACCGTTATAACTAACACTCACACTTTTGAATGGCAGTGTATCATGGTTTCCACAAAAAAGATATATGAAGCAGTACAACTGTTTTCAATATTAATAATCAGAAATGTTTCTTGAATGAACACCATAAATAATACACATACACACACACGCACGCACGCACGCACACACACACACACACACGATAACAATAACAACTCATTGTATACTATTGTGCTTCGCAATATAACATGAAATATGATCAACAGATTCTCAATATTTTCTTTATAAAGATTACAGAGACAATTTGCAAGATCACATGTTTAAACAGAAGTTTTAAATCGTCATTAAATCCTCAGAACAAGTTCGATTTGAATGTAAACATGAAAACACAATCTTAACTTACCCTTAATTTAACAACATGACGTCAGCTGTTGCGCCACATAATACGTAATACTCACGGTTATATATGTGACAACATATGTGACAATCAATATCGAAAATATCTAATATGAGAAAAATTAAAACTCCCTCCACAGCTGCCGCTCGCAGGCGTACTTCCGGGTGGACATGACGTCATGGGCATGCGCACTGACAGCCTTTTCGCACAAGAGACTTCAGACAGACATATCCATATTGTATACCACCACGCAAACATGTTTAAATACACCCAACACGATTTAATTTTAATATATATAACACACAAAACAGATGTAAAATAGTCGCTGTACTTTGAGGTGTTCGTGTCCCCTGTGTTCTCTGTAGTCGTCACGTGGTACAAAGTCGTAGCTCCGGTAGCTCCAGAGTTGAAATTACGAGTTCGATGATCACGTGAATACTCTTTACAAGTCCGAATCGTCCGAAGAGTTAACTTAATTACGACTTGGCGTGAACGCACCTATATTACAGAGGAGAGGAATACGTACACTTCTTATCTCTCTCTCAAAAACAAAAAACACACACACACAAAAACACATTTACCTGTAAATTATGGAGGAAGAAATGCATACAAGTCAATATTTATTTGTTGAGTTAAATTTAGGAAATCTGCATGTCCAACCACTGAACCACATATTTCAAAAAGCCTTTCAACTTGTTTATTATGTGACAAGCTTCCAGTAAAAGCAGTTAAAACTCAATCAATTATATTTGAAACATTCTCATCTTATTCAATTTAGCTTTTAGCTTATTCAATATAGCTTTTAGCTTATTCAATTTAGCGTTTAGCTTATTTAATTTAGCTTCAACTTAACTTTTAGCTTATCTACAATTTAGCTTTTTAAAGTGCTGGCTGCAGTCAATAATTCCATCCCTTAAACTTAATTTTTAATAATTAAAATTACATATTTAAATGTTTTTTCCTTGAAAAACATTCGGCATGCCTTAAAATAGCTTGAATGTAACTCGAAACCTTTGCTTCATTTAGTGCTTTATGAATATGCAAATGAGCCCCGCCTCTACTCACTCAGCCCAGAGATCCACTGGTTGTCGATCACACGTTGATCTGATTGGTTACAAGGTGGTTTGTGACGTCAGAAACACCAGCGATTTCAAAGCGTGTTTTTGAGACTGTCTTTGGTTCACTGCAGTTTTAAGGAGGAAATACTCAGCAATGCTGTCCACTTATCAACTTACACATGGTGTGTGTTAAAGCGGATTAAAAACACCACATACACACATAAACAACATTAAAAGCTGGATTTTCACTTTAAGCGAATCCATCTTGGTTCAAGGATGTTTCCAATTTTTTGTAGTGAAATCAGCACACAGCCAGAGTAGTGAGAGTTATTTATTAGAGCGCATAATGCATATTACAGATCAAACCATTATTTATCTAACAGCGAGTGACTAAACGAGTCTTTCCATCTGCCAGTGGTGGCCATAAAGAGACTCATTAACCTAGACGTGAGCAGTGCTTTAAAACTAACACACACGCACACACAAGCACACACACACACACACACACACTGACAGTAATAAATAGGCACTGTTTAGAGCGTCATAAAAATCAACATTATGTAATTATCTTTATTAGAGCATGTGAGCAGCGCTATCAGTCGTTACTGGTGTTTAAGGCACTAATTGGTCAATACGGCACACGCTTCTCCTCCTCCGGTCATTTCATGCTTTCTTCCCTTTTTCCTGGGCACTTTTCACTCTTCGGACTACATCTCCCATGATGCACTGGGGCCAGTGTGCTGCGTTTGGCTCAGTCTCTGTCCCTGAGGGCTCGGAGGATGTAGTTCTCTCTCTCCAGTTGAGCGTTTCTCTCCGACAGCTCTTTAATCTGTTCTCTCAGCACCTCCACCTCCTCTCGCACCGCCAACATCAGGTGAGACTTCACCAGGTCCTGCACACACACACACACATTTAGCACATGCTTTGATCTTTACTTTTTGAGCTGCACATTATATCAACACACACACATTCGCTCACATACACATACATAACACAAATACACATGGACTCAATCACACTCTCTCTCTCTCTCTCTCTCACTCACACACACACACACACACACACACACACACTCTTTCTCTCTCTCATACTCTCTCTCTCACACACACACACACACACACACACACAAATGCAATACTGTAAAGGAACTCACCATGGCTTGCTCTATCTTGTTATCGATGGCGATCATACTGCTGTTAGTTCCACTGCAACAGAGACAGAGGGAAACGTTTACTATTCATTGAACCAGAAAACAATTCTAAATTTAGGAAGTTTCTAAGGAGTTTCTAGGTCGTTTCGTAGTTTCCTGGTGGTTTCTATGGTTTCTAAGGCGTTTCTAGGCTGATTCAAGCTAGTTTCAGGCTGTTTCAAGGTGGTTTCTAAAGAGTTACTAGGTCGTTTCTAAGGAGTTTCCAGGTCATTTCGTTGTTTCTTGGTGGTTTCTAAGGAGTTTCTAGGTAGTTTATATATGGTTTCTAGGCTGATTCAAGCTAGTTTCAGGCGGTTTCTAGGCGGTTTCTAAGGAGTTACTAGGCTGTTTCTTGGTGGTTTCTAAGGAGTTACTAGGCTGTACCTATGTGGTTTCTAAGGAGTTTATAGGCTGTACCTAGGTCGTTTCTAAGGAATTACTAGGCTGTACCAGGGTGGTTTCTAAGGAGTTTCTAGGCTGTACCTAGGTGGTTTCTAAGGAGTTTATAGGCTGTACCAGGGTGGTTTCTAAGGAGTTTCTAGGCTGTACCTAGGTGGTTTCTAAGGAGTTTATAGGCTGTACCAGGGTGGTTTCTAAGGAGTTTCTAGGCTGTACCAAGGTCGTTTCTAAGGAATTACTAGGCTGTACCAGGGTGGTTTCTAATGAGTTTCTAGGCTGTACCTAGGTGGTTTCTAAGGAGTTTCTAGGCTGTACCTAGGTGGTTTCTAAGGAGTTTCTAGGCTGTACCTAGGTGGTTTCTAAGGAGTTTCTAGGCTGTACCTAGGTGGTTTCTAAGGAGTTTATAGGCTGTACCAGGGTGGTTTCTAAGGAGTTTCTAGGCTGTACCTAGGTGGTTTCTAAGGAGTTTCTAGGCTGTACCTAGGTGGTTTCTAAGGAGTTTCTAGGCTGTACCTAGGTGGTTTCTAAGGAGTTTCTAGGCTGTACCAGGGTGGTTTCTAAGGAGTTTCTAGGCTGTACCAGGGTGGTTTCTAAGGAGTTTCTAGGCTGTACCTAGGTGGTTTATAAAGGAGTTTCCAGGCTGTACGTAGGTGATTTCTAAGGAGTTTAGGCTGTTTCTAAGGAGTTACTAGGCTAATTCTAGCTAGTTTCTAGGCTGGTTTCTAGAAAAGGCTCGTCTCCTTCCTTCAATGTGCATCTGTGTTTTTTACTTATTTGCTTAGTTTTTTTTTAAGTCTTTCCTTCCCTCTAGTAACTAAGGACTGAACAGCAGCACTGAAGGTCTCGACGAGAGCGGCTGTACTGTATGTGTGTAACACTGATGCTATTGTTCTGAATGAGGTGGGCAGCAAAAGCTTCTCACAACAGCCAGCTTGAGGAAAACACAACCCTTTCCACGACCACAAACTCATCATAAACATCTGACAGGATGAAAGAAAACCTCAAGAAAAACGCACACAAACTGAACACACTGCATGAGCGAACTAACCCAGTTACCAGCGGAGGAAAAGCAGACGGGAAAGGAGGGTTGCTGGGCTGTTACCTTTGGGCTTTTCAAGGTCGTTTCTAGAGTGTTTTAAGACAGGGGTTGTAGGCTGTTTCTAGGCATTTACAAGATGGTTTCTAGGCTGTTTCTAAGCCATTTTTTCTGGATGGTTTCTAAATGTTTCTTGGCTGTTTCTAGGCTATTACTTGGCTGTTTATAAGAGTTTCTCCGGGTGGTTTCTAGGCTGTTTCTAAGCATTTGTAGGCCGTTTCTTGGTGGTTTCTATGCGGTTTGCATGCGTTTTTTCAAGGTCGATTCTAGAGTGTTTTGAGGCAAGTTTTATAGGCTGTTTCTAAGACGTTCCTAGGCATTTTCTAGGTAGTTTCTAGTCAGTTTTCTGCCTGTATCTAGCCGAATTCGAAGCATTTCTAGGCCGTTACTATGTTGTTTCTAGTCAGTTTTCTGGCAGTTTCTAGATATGGCTCAAGTCCCTAATTTATGCATGTCTGTGGGTTTTTGACACCAGTTTTCTGGCCCAGCAGGTGAAAACTATGCACTTGATCACTTAGTGGACAGCACACGATTCTTAAAACAGCCAGCTTGATGGAAACACCAAAGGGCGACACTCTCCATACATAATAATTATGGCTGTGCAAAAATTAATTGCAATTAATCGCATCCAAAATAAAAGTCTGTGTTTACATAATATATTTGTGTGTGCTGTATATAATTATGTTGTATATATAAATACACACACACGTGCATGTATATATTTAAGAAAATGTGTTATTCATATATAAAATATTTATATTTATATAATATAGATTATGTATTTATAAATATACACAGAATTTAAGCGCAAATAATTCTTAAATATATACATGCATGCATAGGTATTTATATATACAGCACACACAAATATATTATGTAAACACAGACTTTTATTTTGGATGCAATTAACTTTTGCACAGCCCTAATAATAATACATCACAACTGTCTGAAAGAATGAATGAAAACGTTTAGCATGAGCCTAACTAACCCAGTTACCTCTGGAGGAAAAGCAGAAGCGAAAGGAGAGTGGAGTCAGAGGGGCGGAGCCTGTGTTTGTGCGTGAGAGCTCCGCCTCTCTCTTCTCTCACAGTGGAAGTCAATGAGCCCCACTCGGGATTCTGACACATCTGATCGCGAACACTGGACTTGCAGGACGATCCGATACGAACAGACCTGGGATTATTTTCTGAGCGCTGTGTCTGAGAGTGACCAGCAGGTGGAGCTGTGTCTGTTGAGATGCTGGGTTTCGATGAGGAGTTTCTGCCTGTTCTTGACGTTGGTTTGTTTCTGGATGGCGTATGCGGAAAGCGCTTGCTGCTGATTGGCTGTTTGGTTTCGGCGGAGAGTGCCAAGCATCCAGCCCTCGGATAGTAATCAAGCTTCCCGATTGGCCAAGAGTCACGAACCCTTCGAGCTCCACCAGTCACATTCCTTTCGCCTGCATGGAGGCGTGGCCGACAAATCACAGTTGAAGGGGAGGGGCTTGAAGATGAGGGGTGTGGCTTAGAGCCAGTTGATGATCCATCAAGAAGGATGGGATTCTCTGTTTGTGTCTGGTCATTGGAAACACATGGAGGAAGTGATAAAGGACGAGGCTGTTTTTTACTCTCAAAAATGGAGATCATCTTACGAACACTAACAAACATGGTGGGGATTCGGGAGGTGCAAAAACACACATCAAAAGGAAATTCAATCATGTACACGGTTTTCTTCAGGCGCCGTCAGGAAGAGACATCATGTAATCGTTTCCTTTGACCTCGTTCAGAAACATCCGGAGAGGATCTGACTCACTCAGTGACATGAAACTGTAACAATTACTCAGAACAAGAGTGACCTTTACTATGGTGAACAAGTTATTATAGTTCACTAAAACCACAGCAAAAAAAAGGGTTTTTGTTACGTGAAATAAAACTTTAGCTGAAAAACTTAAACTTTATTTCAGCTAGTTGCCAAAGTCGCCCTGTAGGCCATAATTTGATCCCTTAAAACTCATCTTTGATCACCAAAAAAAACCCTTCAAAAATGTCTTCTTGCCTTATAATATCTTGAAAGTAACTCGACACCCTTCCCTCATTTAGTATACCTGGTTCTATAATATGCAAATGAGCCCCGCCTCCACATTGATCTGATTGGTTACAAGGTTGTTTGTGATGCCAGCGATTTCAAAGCGTGTTTTTGAGACTATCTTTGGTTCACATCAGTTTTAAGGAGGAAATATTTAGCAATGCTGTCCACTTATCAACTTACACATGGTTAAAGCATATTAAAAACACCAGATAGACATATAAACAACATTAAAAGCTGGATGTTCACCAAAGGGGGACTTTAAAGTAAAGAAAAAATGTTGTTAACATAAATAAATCTGAATATTAAATGAAGAACTCAGTGAAAATGAATAAATGTTTCCTTTGGCAACTAACCAAAATGACTAAGTTGAAGCACTAAAATCGCAAACTAGAAAATAAAATAAAACCTAAAACTGAATAATTAAATGAATAATGAATTAAATCTCAAAAAAAGCACATGACAGATTAACTAAAAGTAAAAACTGAAAATATAAAGGTAATTGTGTCAAATTAATACTGCAATTACACTGACTACAAAAAACGACAGCAGTGAACGAATCCAGGAATTGTTCATTTCACAAAAAAACAAATGATTTCCAAACGCATCATATGAGAGCTGTGTGTGCAATCGAATTTCTCAAAAAACACAAACTTCACACTAAACCGCAGATGAGCGACTAAAAAAATGTAGTCAAGTTACTAGCGTGTTTAAGTTGGTCTGTAATCTCCATGAGACCTCAATAACGTTCCTTCATTTCCATCACCAGACCTCCGTCCATTGTGCTGTAATCCGTCAAACTGGCCCAATCCAAGCCAAATCCCGGGATTAGTGTAATCTGGGGGGAAAGTCCACCTGTCTGGCCCGTCATCTCCGCGATCTCCACCACACTGTGGATGTCTGCAGGCCCACGGGACTGTTTTCACATGTTAATATGTACAGTGGAACGCACGCATCAACACTGCACTCTTTGATTCTGGTCTCCGCCCACTTTCCGTCGCAGCCAATCACGTCTCACGCTGGGATTCTGTGCCCGCCCACACGGCTCCCAGCATTCCACACTCCACCCACCAGCACACGCGAACACAGGCTGCATACTAATTCACATACTATCCGTCATAAACATTGCAATTAGTGTGGCTGAAATCATAGTATTACATAGAAAACTAGTGTTTACTAGAGATGCGAGATATACGTCCGCTGATACACACCACCAGTCAAAGGGTTACATATATATATACACACACACATTCATCATTACTCCAGTCTTCAGTGTCACATGATCCTTCAGAAATCACTCTAATATGAGGATCTGATGCTCAAGAAACATTTATAATTATTACTAGTTTTAAAAATGTAAATAACATACATTTTCAAAATGTTTCTTGATTATTTCTTGATGTTTCTTGAAAATGTTTTTTTTGAAAATTTCAGGATTCTTTGATTAATAGTGAGTTTAAAAGAACAGCATTTATCTGAAATGGATATGATTTTTAATGTTTTTAAAAGAAGTCTTTTCTGCTCACAAAGGCTGCATTTATTTGATACAAAAAAAAAAAAAACGAATATTATGAAATATTATTAGTTTTAAAACGGCTGTTTTCTATGTGGATATAGCAATTAAAGTGTGTCATTTATTCCTGTGATCAAAGCTGAATTTATCATCATTACTCCAGTCTTCAGAGTCACATGATCCTTCACAAATGAGGATCTGATGCTCAAGAAACATTTATGATTATTATCAGTGTTGAAAATGTATGTTATTTACAGTTTTATTTCAGTATTCTTTGATGTAAAGAAAGTTTAAAAGAACAGCATTTATCTGAAATAGGATCTTTTGTAATATTAAATACTTCCGTTCAACAGTTTGGGGTCAGTAAGAATTTATTTTTATTTTTTTGGGTGGAAATAAATAAAATAAAACAATATTTTTATTCATCAAGGGAGAATTAAATTAATCAAAAGTGACAGTAAAGACATTTATAATGTTACAAAAGATTCTATTTCAGAGAAATGCTGTTCTTTTCAACTTTCTATTCATCAAAGAATCATGAAATAAAAATTGTTTTCAACATTGATAATAATAATGAATGTTTCTTGAGCATCAGATCCTCATATTAGAGTGATTTGTGAAGGATCATGCGACACTGAAGACGGGAGTAATGATGCAGACAATTCAGCTTTGATCACAGGAATAAATTACACTTTAAAATAAATTAAAATAGAAAGAGTTATTTGTAATAATATTTAACAATATTTACTGTTCTTTTTGTATTTTTGATCAAATAAATGCAGGTTTGGTGAGCAGAAGAGACTTCTTTTAAAAACTGTAGTAGTGTAGTGCATGTTCATTTTTAATATTATTTGGCAAAATTTTAAAGCCAATAAATAATGGATTATTTCTTTCAGGCAAGACACTTCAGATGTGCTCTGTTCGCCATTATAGTTTTGAATTGTTAAAAATATGATAAGAATTTCTTTATTTTTGGAAAGGAAAGTTGGCTACAGGATTGTCAATAAAAATATCCAATACCAATGTTACCAATATCGGCCAATATATTGTTTAACGGCTTTCAAATATAAAGAATTATCGGTTGCCAAAATATCGGTTATCGGCTTTCAAATATAAAGAATTATCGGTTATCGATATCGCCCAATATATCGGTTATCGGCTTTCAAATATAAAAAAAATTTCGGTTACCAATATATCGGTTATCGGCTTTCAAATATAAAGAATTATCGGTTACCAATATATCGGTTATCGGCTTTCAAATATAAAGAATTATTGGTTACCAATATATCGGTTATCGGCTTTCAAATATAAAGAATTATCGGTTACCAATATATCGGTTATCGGCTTTCAAATATAAAGAATTATCGGTTACCAATATATCGGTTATTGGTTTTCAAATATGAAGAATTATCGGTTATCGTGTCGGCCAATATATCGGTTATCGGCTTTCAAATATAAAGAAATATCGGTTATTGATATCGCCCAATATATCGGTTATTGTTTTTCAAATATGAAGAATTATCGGTTATCGTTTTGGCCAAATTCTTCATATCGGTGCATCACTAATTTCTAGTCTATTATTTACAGTTAGAATTGGAAGTGCAAATACACTCTTAAAGAACTACAAACTAAAGCAGACGGTTAAGTAAAGTAAGTTTATATAATAATCATTATATATAAGGTCGACACATACACACTCATTTCCCGTCAGCAGGTGTGTGTGTACCGCTTATGAAGGACAGCGTGAGTGTGTGAACGGAGTAAATATTGATGATGGAATCAGAGCTCGGCCGCCGGCGCTCCATGACTGATCCTCATGTTTGATTTGAGTGAGAATCTCAGATTTCATGTAACAACTCAAACAAGACGCTTCACAGGGGATGTGTGTGTGTGTGTGTGTGTGAGAGAGAGAGAGAGAGAGAGAGTGTGTGTGTGTGTGTGTGTGAGAGAGTGAGTGTGTGTGTGTGTGTGTGAGTGTGTGTATGTGTGTGTGTGTGTGTGACAGAGTGTGTTTGTATGAGTGTGTGAGAAAGAGAGAGTGTGTGTGTGTGTGTGTGTGTGTGAGAGAGAGAGATCAGCCATCCGATCTGTGATTCGCAACACCAAATCAGTGTGATACGACACAGTTTGAAACACGCTTGAACAACTGAATCACACACACACTTCTGTAACCTTCAGTATCCAGTTGTCCTGTCTCGTCGTGAATGGAGTCTCTATTCCTGCACTAATGCTTTAAACTGACATGCTTTACTCAAGAACACACTGCATGAAACAACACACTCGCGCACAATGCAATAATAACAGGCTTGCGTTCCTGCACCCATGTAGAGAGAGTGTGTTTGTGTGTTTGAGAATGAGTGAGTGAGTGTGTGTGATGGGTACGGTTAGTGTAAGAGGAGAGGATATACAGTTTGTACAGTATAAAAACAATTACATCTATGGAGAGTCCACACAAAGACAGTGAACCAGACGTGTGTGTGTGTGTGAGAGAGAGAGAGCGAGCGAGTGAGAGTGTGTGTGTGATGCATGATTGAGGTATTTCCTCTGGGTCTGTGACAGTAAGCACTGCGGTGTGAAAACGCTCATCAGGGCCTCAAGAAACCAAGAGCATCACCTTTCCAACCACTCGACTCTCGAAATATACACACACACTCGACTCACACCTAAATATAGACCACCAACAACTGGCTCGTGTGTGAGAGAGAGAGAGAGAGAGAAGACAGAGAGCGAGAGAGACACACAAGAGAGAGAGAGAGAGAATTGACCTTTCACACCAAAGAAAAGTGTCTGAAAAAAACTATTATGATGTTCTCATTATAATTGTATGATGAAGCGGATATGACAGACTTGCTCTGCACATGTGGCACTGAACCATATTTTACTTTTTTTTTTTTTTTAAAGTAATTCCAATCATATTTCAAGCATTTCAAACCCATCATGTTGAACAGTGTGTATCTGAAGTGACTCAGCTGAAGGAAATAATGCGTTATTTATCAGCTTTAATATATCGGCCACATTTTCTTATGTTTATATTTTCTTACGTTAAATTAAAGTATATATCAGCCGATATATATATATATTTTACATTTTATTCATTATTTTATTTATAATAATTGTGTATTAAAAAATACTATTAATACTACTAAAATTACTATATTGCGATGCAATAAAGACTTTAACCATGTTATCAGAATGCTTAATATGCATAAATAAAGAGCATAGAGATGAGAAAAATAGATGATTAGAAGAACGTTTTTGAAAGTTTTCCTTTTCGATTTCCGAGTGAAATATATATATTATATTAATTCGTTTAGAGCTAGAGCAATTACTAAAATGTTGTAGTTATATAGTCATGGTGTGAACTTCACTACTGTGTTATAGTTATAATAGTAGTGTAAACTTCGCAATACTCGTCTTAAGAGTTATAATGATTAAAACTTTATGGTTATCGTTATAGTTGTGGTTAAACTTCAATATTATCTTAGAACGATTATTAAAACTTTATATTTATTATTATAGTTGTGATTGGACTACACTATTCTCTTACAGATATAACGTTTATGAAAACTTCATAGTTATAGTTTGACTTCGCTACTCTCTTAGAATGATTATTAAACGTTTTAGTTATAGTTCTCGTTATAGTTGTGGTGTGGACTTCGCTATTCCGTTAGAGCGATTATATTAAAGCTTTATGGTTAGTTATTGTTACAGTTGAACTCTGCTAATCAGTTAAAGCGATTATTAAAATTTTAGTTGTACCGTAGTTATCGTCCTTGCTACGAACGAACCTTAAGTGCAGTTTACAGTGACGTGACAGACAGAATCAGGCGTCGTTCTAAAGACAGAAGTCTCAGGTCTCACCCGTCGTCTCCCACGAGCTCGAACGCTCGCCCCATGCCGAACATGGACTGCGCCAGCGCAAAGGCGGACGGCGTCTGGATGGGCGTGAGTCCGGGATGGAAGGGACTGTCTCGACCCAGGTGTGGCCCAGGAGAAGCCGGCTGCGAGCGGGTGGTCCGGAGCTGCGGGAAAAATTACATCGAGTTAAAAATGAACCACACTTAGAAATATTGGGCACTATTTTAATGACCTAATGACGCAAGTGCACTTAGTAAATTTCCGAATCCACTTTTGCTAGTTTAACGACGGGAAAAATGGTTGGCGGTCCCGGTGCATGGCCTAAAAGGGTTGTCTCTATTCTCTTAATGGGTGTGTTTTAGGTGTAACGTACAATAAACCAATCAGAGTCTCATCTCCCATTCCCTTTAAGAGCCAGTTGCGCTTGCGCCATGGCGGATTCGCTTTTTACATGTCGGAAATTACAAGCGGAAAAACTGAACGCTTCTCTAGCGAGGAAAAGGATCTGCTTGTGCGCTGTGTGGGTTCGTCTGTGATGTTAACGTACACAATAATAATACTTTACATTGGAATCCCTTTTATTTTTAATATTTAGCATGTTGGTATGCTGCTGCACATTACTAACGCGCACTTTAAATAACGAATATACTGCGCCATTGACTTTACATCAGGTTTTTGTTGGTCAATGGTTTCAGCTCTTCAAAATAGTAACGCGCCTGAACACACACCTCGTTTTAAGACCAGCAGCCCATGGGCGCAAATGCATTAAAATACGTGGCGCAGGACGTGAAAAATGATAACCGCGTCAGGCTGAAACTAGCGTCGCGCCTGGCGCTGCATTGTGCCGGCTCATAGACGAGTGTGCGAAAGCTCACCTTGCCAACGGCATCCATGTCGAGACGCAGTGGAGCGGGTATGTTGCGTATCCGGGGCGTGTTCGGCAGATGTGGCGACGTGATTGGCTGCGAGTCATGTGATGGGGAAGGTGGGCCGCTTTGGGTGGAGTCTGTCCGGCATTGGTTGAGCAAGTACAGGGTGCCCTGCGAGTGTCCCATGTGACCTGTGTGCACCCCCAACGGCTTCAGTCTGGCTCCGCCCACTGCGCCTTCGACTCCGCCCCCGCCCAGCCCCACCGTCTCCAAGGACTCCAGCGAGTGGGCGTGTCTCATGCTGTCAATCACGCGGCGGAGGCCTCGTTCCTCGACCTCCCTCTCCATCACATCTACGCAAGTCCATCGACCGCGCTTGTACGGTTCTCCCGGTCCCTGGTCCAAACGCACCACGCGAAACCGCGACGCCCCGCTCGAGTCCAGCGAATTCTGCTTCCTAGTCGTGACGGGCGTCGACGGTTGACTAGAGCTTTGTTGCGTCTGGAAGGCGGAGCTATGACGGAGTAACGGGCCATTGGGTAAAATCTGAGTGGGCGATGCAGTCTGGCTTCTGGGGCTCCGCCCATGGGCGGGGCCTCTTGCAGAAGTGGGCGTGGCTCTTTGACTCCCAGGGCTGAGTAACTCCGTCAGATTGTTTTCTCCAGATCCCTGATTGTAATCCGATGTAACACTGGTGATTTGAAAACCGCTCCGTTTCTTTCCACCACTCATTCTTGGACTGAGCGTTAGCGAGTGGTATAACGTTATCCTTAAGCGCTCAAAGCTCGATTGTTGTTCATTATTTCTCTGGCTGAGAAAGAAAAGAGCGAAAGAATCTCTCTAAGAAACGGATATCCTTACCATTCCAAAGCGCTGGTTTTCGTTCACTCAGTCTCTAGGGTGGATCTGGATCTGATAAACCATATTTTTTGTCCTTAGGTGAACTCACAGGTACGTGGTAAAATCTGTCGAAACCGAAAAAGTTAAATAAATCACATTTATTCCATTGAGCTTGGCAGTCTCTCGTCCTTCTCCCTGCGGCTGTTTGGAGTATTTCGACTACAGCCAGTACAGTAACAAGAGCAGTTTCTCAGCCCAGCGGTTGCGCAAGTCTCGGCTCTGATGGCTGTTTCCTCTGGCAGGCGTGCAGTGTGTGCGTTCACGGCTCAGGACACAAAAAAGAGACTCATAATCGCCATGCATGCACAGATTTGATTATTTCAAGATCAAACAGCCATTCCAAAAGATGTTAGCTAAATAAACACCATGATTAGGGCGTTTTGCATGATTATGTCCTGCAGCTTAAAGCCTGAGCGTGTCAGGACATCTTTTTTTTTCTTTTTAGTTCTGCAGGACAAGTTTGGTAACTATAAAAACAAGAAGTTCTGTTTCCATCAACTTTCTGCTAGCGTCTGGTGACAAAACACTCTGCAACTTTAAGAGAAGAACCTGGAAAAGAGTCAAACTCAAACAAAGAGTCTGGAGTTTCAGTTCTGAATGCTCATTTGATTCAAATTAAAAGAAAGCAATCTCGCTTTAAACTTAAAATCAAAACCGGAGCAAGTGGATAAGATCAAGCACACAACTTTAGGAGTAAAACTTGGATGCAATCCAACTTTAAATGTAACAGTTCTGGCTGTGCATTTGATTCAAATGAGAAATGATCACGCTTTTAACTTCAGATTAAAGTTAGAGCAAGTAGAAGCTTGTCAAACGTGAATCGAACATTCAAAACTTTAAATGTTACAGTTGTGACATTCAAATGAGAAATTAACCCATGCGTTTCATCTCAAATTAAAACTAGAGCAAGTGGAAAACTTATTTGTAACAGTTTGAAATAGTTTAAAGAGTGGCAACTGCAAAGAGTCAAACTCAATCACAATGAAGTGCGGATTTACAGTCTCGTTTGATTTGAGTTAAAAGTGGATCATGCATTTAACTTAAAATTAGAACTAGTGTAAACAATCATCAACATTAAGAGTATAGAAACTCAACATTAAGAGTATAGAAATAGAAAAATAGAAACCTTGAATAGAAACTCAAAAAATCATGAAATATCATGCTTGCAAACCTGGAGGAAGTTTAAAAACGTTGTGTAAAAGCTCAAAACACTTTACGAATTAAACATAGAATCAAACACGTTACAGTTCTGTCTACATGATTTAAAGGTGGTGCAAGCTTTTAATCTTTAATTAGGCCTACAAATGGGTGTCAAACTCCCACTGTCCCGCACATTAAAACTCAAACGATACCAATACTCTGAGGAACTTTAAGAGTAACACTGATAAACTACAAATATTACATTTCGGCCTGCATGGGGTTGATTCGAATCAGAATTGATTCCACTGATTCGGAGTAGAAATGACGTCACAGAACAAGCACATGCACGCGCGCTCCTCTATCCCCTTAAGCAAATACCCGCATACGTGCGCACAGAAACAGAAGCATTGCACAACACTGTTGCTGCCCAAAATCAGACATTTACTAACACTTAACTAACCCGCATCAGCTCAATATAAGACAAGAATCATCAAAAAGTAACATTACAATAGAGGAAAGCTGTGCAGGACAGATTTCTGGATCTGGATTTAACCTGAGCCCAATAGAAATGTGAATTAGGACCAAATTTAAGACAGAGGCATTCTGTAATCCCATGAAGAAGTCAAATTGTAGATGTTTTGTGAATTTAAACACACTAGAGACAGCTCACATGTTGCGTCCACACCTAAAATCCCCGGAGGATGAGAAAATATTCCGTTAAAATAAAATCAGAAAGAGAATTTAAAAAAAAAATCCCTTTAGAGTCAAGGAGACTGATTGAGATTGATCATCCACACCCGAACAGTTTGTTAATTCTCCATCAGTTTGCATCTGATCCACCCCTAATAAAGTACGAGTCACACCAACTCCTCCGGATCTCTCGGTTCAGTCGCAGAAATCCCGCAGCTTCGGTTCTCTTGTTGAGTTCAGGAGTGGATTTGCTTTAAAGCGACACTAATGAACTCAGATTTACAGATTAATTCTCCTCCAACGAAACTGTTGACAACTTTCCATCACCCGGAAGTTCCGCCTCCGATCCAGCGACAGGATCATTAATATTAATGCAGCTACACGGCCGCTCAACCAATCAGCGATCGAGTTAATATTCATGAGATACCCCTTCGCTTTAGTGGGATTCATAATTTCGACACACGCTGACAAAACACTTATTTTAATTAGTAGAATTTAACAGTAGCAAAAGCATTAGACTTTACAAAATTATAACTTCAGCTTGTCAGTGTTAAATCTCAAAATACGTTTAAATCAGTGAGCAAAATAAAACAAAATCAAGTTGAAGAAATGTAGGTTCGCACTGCCACCTAGCGACTATTTCAAGTAATAACGAATAAAACAAAATAGATCCTATTATAAAAAGTACCGATTTATTTGTTTCCCTTTTTCCGTACAGTAATATATGTCTCCATTCAATCAATTCACATTTCCTGATTAAAAACAAATGTGAGAACAACAGAGCCAAGATGTAGAAGATTTACAAGAGCCCAAACATTATAAAACAGAGATCTTTCAATCTATCAGTACACTGACAATATACAGCAATTGTTCTGTCATGAACACATCTGTTCAACTCACGATTTTATTAGCAAAACAACGTTCTGTTCAGTCAGGACTAGATGTTAGAAACATTGTAATAATGATATCCTTAATATGTTGAATAGGTAGTAAACATTTAAAAATAGTATTAAGTCACTAGGGTGTGTTATTTTATGAATATACTCACATTTTAGTGTCACACTGCTATTCATTACACAAAAATATGTTCAAATCTGGGCGGATCCTGATGAAACCACAAACAGTGGATGATGATTGTGAATAATCCGTGACAGGATTGTTTAAAGTTAGTATTGTCTTTGTGTAGTGTAAGTTTAGTTTCTTGCAGCAGCATTGATATTTAATATCAGTAAAACACAGGTCAAATGAAGTTGAGATGTTTATCTTCTGGGATGCCGTAGTTTTGCTTATTCTCTTCAAAAAGTTGCGTCAGACCCTACAAACACACACATGTCGGAAAATATGCATATTAAAGATTGTAAAATCATAAAGCATCAGTGGAAATGTGCATTTGATTCACCTTCATGTAGAGAGAGTGAAGAGTGTCAATGTCGTCTTTATTGGGACACGGAGTCTGAGTCACCGGGATGGGGCGTCCGACTACACACACACACACACAGAGAGTTAAACATGACACACAGACAGTATGACATGACACTGATCTGGACTCAGTACCCTCTGGTGCACTTCATTTTTAAACGAAAAAGTATTTTTTTTGTTACTTCATTGGAATGGTACAGAACTTGTTTCGAAAGGGTGAAATGGTCCTGAAAAAAAAAAAAATCTTCACAAAAATGAGTGCATTGGAAATTTGGAAATTACTGGGAGACTAATTCTATTTTATTTTTTTTAGATATCAAGCTAAAATTTAGAACACAACTTGGCTTTGATTTATTTTTCTCTCAGTTTTCTAATAAAAACATAATATATTTCATATAAAAATTTAAAATAGTATTTTTGTGCATTTTTCATAACAATAAACATAAAATTCTGCAAGTTTTTAAAACTATTTCACTTCAGGAATAATCTGCCAAGTGTGGTCTTTCTAAAGAGATCAGTCTTCAGAGGTTTAAGCTGGATATGTATTTTCATGTCTATGCTCAAAAGGTGAATATATGGATTATAAATACAGCGCAAATTTAATTTAGTTCCATAAAATCGCCTAAAAATACAAAATATTAAATAAAAACCAGTATCTAACTAAAATATAGTACATTCATGTCATTAGCATAAGAAATATAAAATAAAAAACCGGTATTCATCGGTGTGTTTGTGCTGAGTGTGTGTACGCACCCACGGTGTGTATGGGCTTCCGGTAGGGCAGCAGGCCGAAGCTGTACTGGAAAACCCCCCTGGCGTGGAACAGAGGCATGGCCACGCCCATCATCCTCTGGAGGCGGTCCTGCACACGCCTGAGGGCGGAGCCTGTGGGGTTCTCCATCTGATCAAACAACTCGTTCTCCCCGAATGAGAAGACGGGAACCAGCCACGCTCTACACACACGAGAAACAGCGTTCAGTGATCAAACTCATGAGATCCTCTCACACACACACTCACATACTGTAGACTCAAACACAAACGCCTCCAGACACTCACACACACATTCACAGACTAACACACTGTAGACTCACACACACAAACACAGACTCACACTGACACACAAACGCACTCTCACACTCACACACACACACACTGACACACAAACGCACTCTCACACACACACACACAAACTGACACATAAACGTACTCTCTCACACACACACACACACACACACACACACACCCGTGTTTGAGGGCCAGTTTAACGAAGCCTTTGCGCTGCATCAGCTGAAGTGTTAAGGCCCCCGGTCGTGCATCGAGAGACTCTGGAGCTCCTCCCACTGCGATCACGGCGGCTTGTCCTCCACCGGGATGACTCAACAGGTAACTCGCACTGGCCTTCTCACTCGACACCAGCCCTGCAGAGGTCAGAGGTCAAGTTTCAGACCAAGCGTGCTGCACAAGTGCTAAAAAGTGAAGTCAAAGAGTCTCGATCGCCCCCCGGTGGCTGGTCCCAGTATAACTTATAAACCCAGCGTCTCGATCGCCCCCCGGTGGCTGGTCCCAGTATAACTTATAAACCCAGCGTCTCGATCGCCCCCCGGTGGCTGGTCCCAGTATAGCTCATAAACCCAGAGTCAAAAGGAAGGAACAAACATGGCACATCAGTAGTTATTTCCATTTAAAGATGTGAATTAAATAATGTATGAAAATAAAATCGCATAAAATATTTGTGAAAAAAAGATGCTTTTCATCAGGAACAAAATGAACGAACGAGACACGAAAGCTTTATTTCCATATAAAGTTGTGCAAAAAAAACTCCAAAATGAAGCAGTTTCATCACAAACGAAGTGAACAAATCAGGCATGTCATCAGCGGTTTCCATACACAGTTGCGTATTATACTAGCGTAATATATATTTTTTTTAATATTGCATAACACTTTTGCACTTAAAGGAGGATTTTTTTTTTAGATTTCATGCACATATTTGCATTTCCATCAGGTGTTTTCAACTCTATATCCAAACATTTGCATAAAATACGGATGCATGGAAACAGCCGTTCTGAACAAAGTGCACAAACAGTTGTTCATAAACTGAAGGAACAGATTCTCGGTTCGGGGTTCGAGTCTTTCCAGTGTATCAGCGGGAGAGAGTGAGGTGGACGAGGAGCAGCAGAAAGCCCACAAATCATATCATATCATATCAAATATCATATCATATCTTCTGTGTCTCTTTCACTGATTTACACAATAAACCCGTGACTCTGTTCCTGTGTCACACACTGACCCTCGGCTGAAGAAACACCGTGACTCAACACACACACATCACATCTACTGACACTCATGTCTTTCACTCACAGTTATAGAAGTAAAACAATCTGGAGACTATAACGTTACACCAGCAAATAAGCACACTTAAACTCAAATATTTCACATTCACATTCTCACAAAAACACTTTTTTAGACAGTATTACAAAAAAGACTTGATACTTTACAAAAAAATATATATATACAAAATTATTTAAAACAAAATTATAAAATATAGCTGAAAGCATAATAAAATAAATATATTAGGTTAATTGCGATTAATCGCATCCAAAATAAAAGTCTGTGTTTACATAATATATTTGTGTGTGCTGTATATAATTATTTTGTATATATAAATACACACACATGGATGTATATATTTAAGAAAATGTGTTATTCATATATAAAATATTTATATCTATATAATATAGATTATGTATTTATTTATATATACAGAATTTAAGCACAAATAATTCTTAAATATATACATGCATAGGTATTTATATTTACAAAATAATTATATACAGCACACACAAATATTTTACGTAAACACAGACTTTTATTTTGGATGCGATTAATCGCAATTAATTTTTGCACAGCCCTAATTTTATTTTATTATTATTATGATTTTTATTTTTTTTCCAATTTTGATTAAGTGATTTAAAGTGTATTTTTTGTCTCTCTGTCTGGTGGGGGGTGGGTGGGGGGTGTTTGTTTTATTTTATTTTATTTATGTTATGTAAACACAGACTTTTATTTTGGATGCAATTAATCGCAATTAATTTTTGCACAGCCCTAAAATATATAGTAGTTATTTTGATTTTGTCTTATTATCCGATAACTTTGACGGCCCTAGTTTCTATACTTTATTTATTTTTGCCGCCTGTAAAAACACTTTACAGTCGTTTCATTCGTTATCATTAGTTAACTATATTAGTTAAGATGAGCAATACTTTTACAGCATTTATTAATGTTAATTTTAATTTCTACTAATGCATTTTTTTAAATGTTAGTTAACTACCATGAACAAACAATTTAATATTTAACTTTAACAAAGATGAATAAATTCTGTCAAATGTATAAATCTCTCATATTTAGTTCATCATGAGATCTTCGAAACATTCATTCTGCTGGAAAAAGCTTGTGTGTGTGTGTGTGTGTGTGTGTGTGGCTGTATCACCTACTTGGTTCTGGTTCAGGCATTTCCACAACATCTCATTACACAACAAGGATAAACATCAAGGGCAAACACACACACACTACAGTCGACACACACACTATAAAGTCAACAAACACACACACACACACCTCCACACATGATGTATTCTCTGAAGAAGGGGACCCTGAACCAGAAGGGCAGCATCAGCAGGTACGGCGTGAGTCCGGGGAACATCCGGGAGAATCCGGACGCTTCCGTGCAGAAGTTCCCGAAGCCGCCGGCCACCAGCACACCGTGAGGATGGAAACCCAGCAGGTAATTATTCCGCGGGTCCAGATCCGCTGTTTTCACCAGCTAGACACACACAGATCTCACATGACTCGACTTTATTTATATACAAAATATACATTTTACTAAATAATGTGGACTCTAAAATCAAAGTCAAATGTCCAGGGCGTAAAATGAACACTCTTTCACGTCTCGGTTACACAAAATAATGCCAAAAACAGCGAGTATCCTAGTAAACACAGTCGATGAACGTAAACTTTTGAAAACCGCGCGTTCACTCTTAAAGCGACAGTAGCCTAATTCCTGCGGTGCGTGTTTAATGTTCAACAACAAAAGAGACAAAACCACTCGACGCTCTTGAAGCACTGTAGTTATATTGTATTTATTTGTATTATTTTATTATCGACTGTTTATTTTTCTTTAATCAGGTTTTAAAAAATGAGTTAAGGCAAGTCGTTTTAGCAATGGTATCGAAACTGAAATAGATAATCGTTAGTTTTGACTGGAATCTAATATTTTGGAGCCTGTTTTTGCAAAACGTTCCAAATTTGAGGTTAATATCGGAAAAAATGACGCTTCTGTGAGATTTTGGTCAAGCGCTATCCCAAAAACAGCCACTGGGCGGCTAACACACGATTTAAATAGTTGTGAAACGTGTTCTCCTTTTTTTTCAGTCACAATATCACTTCGATGTCACAAAACAGTCACCAAATCTGAACCTCGAGTCTCAGACCTTTCCAAAATTAGAAAATGATTTGACTAATAAGTGTATTTATTATTTACGCCATATCAGCAACAAGGCTATTTTCATGGAGAAAACAGAATAACATAATTCACACAATTAACTATACAACATTTGAGGTTAATACAAGAATACACTCGGGTGATTTTGACTATTAAAATAAAATAGTGTAGTAAATATGTATAAAATGAAACATGACACCGCCCACTAGGGGGAGGAGCCTGCTTATATGTATTAAAATACAGTGTTAATGATAACGCGATCAATGTTGTATGAATTGTTTGAGCGTTCACATGATACCTATTTTTTGATGATTACTGAAAAAGGTGCGAGTCACTCACGCTCGCATAAACTCACCGTGATGGGGAAATATTCCCGAAAATACGTCCATATGTGCCAGCTTCTGACCCACTGTGACCTCCGACCCCCACATGAGGGCGTGTCCCTGTCCAGATACAGCCAACCAGCGTACAGCGCTCCGAGGATCCACCAATCACTGACACACAAGAGCACGAACAAAGCCAGACAGACCTGAGCTGGAGACAGAGAGACGAGTGTGTGTGTGTGTGTGATTGATCACAGGCGAACAGTGTGACTGAACTCTAGAGCGATGTGTGTTTATTAGTGTGTTTGAACTCAGTTCAGACACACAATGTTACTAATGTTGCTGTGGACGGACTGACCGTTTCAGGTTCAGTTCTGATCACACACACACACACACACACACACTGAGCTGCACATTCACGTCACGTTATTGCGAATTAAAGTTTCTATCCTCGCGTTCAAAGTCGAACTATCAAGAAGTCTGGCCTGTATTTCACTCAAATTCAATAAGATAAAATATTATTGCATCGTGAAGTTATTTTCATGACAATCATTCATGTCTACTGTAATATGAGAGAGAACAAACCAGTATTTCAGGATAAGCACATTAACCTCACAAATTATCAATAATGGAATTAAGTCATTTCAGTTTTTGTTTAGTTTTCTCTTTATTCTCAATCAAGCAGGATTACAGAATAAAATGAATATGGTTCATTTTAGCACTGCGAAATTGTTTTCATAACAACTATCTAGTGCAATATGCTTATGAATATGAACTTAATTTAATTTAATTTACCTTTTTCAACTTAAATTGCATAGCGTCATAAAAACAACATTAAACAGAATTTACTTTAGACAATATAAATATAAAATATGATGGGTCTGCTTAAGCTTCACCATATTAGAAAGAGAAACTCCACTTTAAAATAATAATTTATTTTCGTATAATTTATTATACTGAAGTTATTTTCATGACAATGGTTTCCTGAAAAAAGGCATAACAGTAACATGAAAAAATAAGTCAAGTGAACAATACAACTGTGCATATCATGGTGAAGTCACGTGTTAATGCAAAATCCTATGATTTGGGGATAAAATATAATGCAGCTGCTAATTAGAAAAAGAAATCTGATTTACAAATATCCACTTTTAAATAATACTTTTTTAAATCTCTACTGACAAACAAAACAGAACAAAACAGATAAACAAGATAACGCCGGAAAAACACGTATCTTTGCAGATATAAATGTTCATCATTCCTTAATTTACAGATATTATATTGATGATGATATGAGACTCACCTAGAGCCAAGAAGCTGAAGACCCACTGCAGAACCGCTGCTGTCTGAATGCGCCTGCGCAGAGGAACATGCAGAGGAGCGAACTCTACCTTCATCTCTGAGGATGAAGAGAAGCTAAACACTCACTCTCACACACACACAAACTCTCAAAGACACTTCATACACACTCAGCGCTCATCAACCACACACCCAAAAACTCAAAAAGTCACTTTTTCTCCACAGAAAACTATTTTCGTGTATTATCCGTGTAAGCGAATGTCAGTCCGGGGAGAGTTTGGAGAGTTCACACTGTGTAAAACTTTATAATGTTCGGCTCGAGACTCTTCCCTTGTGTCTCTGTTCCGCGTGTCTCGGAGAGCGCACAACTCCCAAATATGCAGTGACGTATGCGACCCAGCCCTCTCACCTGCGCCAATCAGATCGCGCGGATCACAAAATTGATCTACGCATGCGTGAATCTTCTCGGCGCTTTCCTCGTGCGCTCGGAAGAGGGCGGGCGCGCGCACAAAGTTTATTCAGATGTTGCGTTTAAAAGGAAAAATAAAGCTATAATTTACCAACCAGCATCGACATAAACTTTATACTTGGCGAACAATATTCATATTTATAATGCTAAACCTAACTGATAACATAGCTAGTAAATTAATAAAATATATATATTTAAAATGTTTAATTTGTAAGGATCCAGCTCACAAACAGAACACCGTATTCTAGGGCAAACATGTTCAGAATTAAATAAAGCAGTCAGACTGATCACTCTTGATATACAGATGTACAATCTAGAGTCACTGTTGAAGAAGAATGCCGATCCACTGCTAAAGGTCAGTATTTGCTGTTTCATCAGAATGAGGTCAGAGGTCATTCGTCACATTCTGTCTATCACTGAAGTGGGGAAAAGGTTATCCAAAAACTTCCGTCCGTCTATCTATCTATCTATCTATCTATCTATCTATCTATCTATCTATCTATCTATCTATCTATCTATCTATCTATCTATCTGAACACTTTGGACAAAACTGTCAGCTAAATGACAAAAATAATAAAGATGAAACATGGATTCATGTCAACTGAAAGATGTTGAATGCATTTGATTTAGTGTAAAGCGATGGCTTGTGCTTCACTGTTTGCAGCGTTTGACGCTTTCAGCAGTCATTGACTTTGATTGACAGGCAGAGATCACTTCTGATTGGCCGCTCAGAGTCTCCTTCTGTCACACACAGGTGTGGTTGTAGACTGAAATGTTCGTTCCATCACTTACGGTATATCTTTTTACATTTTACTCTCCCCCGCAGACATGCATTAGCCGCTGTTCTATTTATAATAACAGTGTTCTGCCCTGTGTCTACTGTCTGTACATGATGTTCCATCATTTTTCATGTTAATGAAACTCACAAATCCAGAAACACAAGCAGAGACACACACACACACACACACACACACACACACACGCACACAAGACGCAGTTTCCTCTTCACGACATCTGGATGAACATACAATTGATTATCGCGAATTAATAAACTCCAGCATCACCTGACAGACAGACGGGCGGATGCAGAGCCTCTGGACCAGAAGGGGGCGGAGCCTAGAAGGGAGAGATGCTATTGGCTGCGGGACTGCTGATGGAGTGTGTGTGTTTATGTGTGTGTGTTTGTGTGGGATGGGGGAGGGTGGATTTAGAAGCTTCTGCAGAAGAGAGAGAGAGAGGGGGGGGGGGTATACAGGGTGCGCGTGCGCTCAGCGCGTTTTACCGCAGTATCTCTGGATTAGTGCGCGCGCTGCGGCACTCCGTTCGGTTTCAAACGGCGAAGAGCGAGAAAACCCGTCCGAACCCAGACGCAAAACAAATTTACAATAAATTATAACGTCCACTCGCATTCATCAGTTTCATCGCGTTTATTCAAAGTGGTTATAAACGCAGCGCGCGCCTGAGAATCCACCGGAGACATGGCCATAGAGGACGAGAAGAAGGAAGCCGGGGGATGGAAGGACTGCTTCTGGAACCCGCGGACGCACGAGTTGCTCGGGAGAACGGCGAGTAGCTGGGGTGAGTGTCCACCGGGGTGTGTGTTATATAAGGCGGGGAACACAACGGGTCGATGTGTGGCGTGTTATTCCGCACGGTGATGCCCTGATGCGCGAGCGCAATCGCCGGTATTTCATTCATTTCAACCTTTTTACCGGGACGCGTTGCGCAATGCGTCTACTGGGCAGCTGTGTGTGTGTGTGTGTGTGTGTGTGTGTGTTCAGCAGGCCCTAATGTATTAAAGGACAATCTGACGATGCTGTTGCTGCGCGCTCTCGGATGTGCGCGCGCGCTCATCCGTGTGCGTTAAAGGTCAACGGGTGCAAAGAGATGCGCGAGATTGTGGGTTATAGTGTGGAAGCATCGGTCTAGGTGCGATAGTCACTGAACAGATCACGCACAATCAATCATTCTGATCGCTGATCGATCAGCGGCAGATTGAGCGCGCGCAAGGTTATTCGGCGAGTGTCCTCGGCTTGCGCGCGCTCACGTGACGTGACGTGGTTTCGCTCATATCCGGAGCAGCTATTATTATATAACGATATGCAGAACATGCACACATATGTGGCCTACTGTACGTATATCTGTGTGTGCATCTTCACTTCTGTCTACACTGTCGGTCTCGAGCTCAGATTTGACATCGTTTGTGTGTGTGTGTAATTTAATATGCGTGTGTTTGTTGTAATGCATGCATTAATAATAAATGCTGATTGTGTATTGATTGATGGCTTTTAGCTGAGTCACTGACCGCATGTGTGTTGCACAAAGAGAGAAACACACACACACACACACACACACACACACACGTCCATCCTGATGTGGCCTTCATGAGCGTTTATTAATAAATTAAAATTAGTGGTTTGCTCATACATACAGTACAAGAAAACAGTGAACAGAAACTAAATTCACTACTGTATGCTTTTGATTTTTTTTTTATCTTCAGTCTAAATCTTCAGCATCTTTTCACTGCAGCACCATCATCATCATCATCATCATCAGTGACCACAAAACCCCAAAATGCAAAAAACGGAAAGATATGACAAGATATACAGAACAAATGTACAAATTCATCATCAGAGTTTGTTTTAAATGTCAGATTTTCTAATATTTGGATGAACCGTCAAGCTGGACACACACATCTGAATGCGCTTAGACACATAAACTGATGTAAAGCTTTAAAAAAAAAAAAAAATCTTTTCAAAATTAAACTGCAGTATCCATCAAGTAATCCACATTCAGTAATCAAACAAATTCTGCTGATACAAACAGACCAAATCAAAGGCAGATCAGTGTGTGTGTGTGTTCTTGTCTAACCCACATTGTGAGGATCAAGATAGTAAAACCTGAATTTTTTTGTCATTATGGGGACATTTTTGAACCCCATGAGGAAAACTAATAGATTATAAATACAGTTTGTACAAATAATAATCATTATGTTTATGGAATTGCTCATAAGTGTAAGTGTGCGTGTGTCAAATTATGTCAGATGGATTCGCTGGCCAGCTTTCATATGTGTTGAGGCATCTGATTGGCCAAGAGCACTGATGACATCAGTGGCAGAGCAGCCAATGAGAGAAGAAGACACTAATCTGACTCCCATCCCCCCACTCAGAGAGAGCGAGAGACACTGATGGGGCGACATATAAGACAAAGACTTAAAATGGAAAGAAAATAAATGCTATAAAATAAAAGAGACAGACACACACACAGAGAGAGAGAGAGAGATAGAGGAGATAACAGAACGAGTAGAATAGGTAGAGATAGATAGTGTGAAAGAGAGAGAGAGAGAGATAACACTGTGGTTTTACTGTAAGAGGATTTACTCACTTGCAGTCTGTCCTGACATTTGCTCAGTGATGGACGAATGAGAAACACACAGATGACATGAAGATGGAGTGAACAGAGGGGAATCTAGGTCACATACACTCGTCGACATTATCACAGATCGTCTGAATTATGACACGGCTCTCTGAAATACTTGATTCTGATTGGTCAAGACAGTCAGACAGAACAACATCCTCTTCACACCTGTGGTTTCTGTGCTGCATGTAAACACGAAGAGAACCGACCACATATAAATATATTCTTTAACTGCACTGATGAGAACACAGTTTGACTGAATCGAGCTGAATAACGAAGCTATTGTTCTGTTGAACTGAATTGAATCAAATTGAACTGAATGTTTTTAGTTTTACACTGTTTAATAATTTGTATAACCGAAGAACATGTTATTTGTTATGAAGAAAAAATGAATGATGCTGATAGTTCTCGGATATTCCCAATAAAAATCTTTACAAAAAAATAATCTTTTAAAAACGTTTTATTATGACTTTTATTATGTTAACTATTAAGTATTGTCAACTTTTAAACTTTGTGGCCAAAAAAAAAAAATTCAGTAAAATAATGATCAAGTTCAGTCACAAAACTATAGAGGGCGCTGATGGTCCTTTACCAGTGACATCATTATAACACCAGACTGATCTCATGAAGTAGCGTGTGTATGCCACGCTAATTCGTTTTTCCATTTTTGGCGTGCTTTCAAGACGCATAATTGCCTTTCAGCGTGTTTATTAGGGTTGGGTATCGAGAATTGAGTATCGATTGGAACCGAGACTAACTTTTCGTTTTTCCCGGAATCGTTCAAAAGTTAAAATTTCTATTTCTAGTTTCGATATTCACAGCCCGCCGACCGGAAGAAGAAATCACTGAACAACAACACCAACGAAGAAGCGTCTACCGAAAGTGTTGGCAGAACCACGCGAGTCGAACATAAGTACCTTACGTCGGCGATCCAAAGTGTGGCTTCACTTTTCTTAAAATAACGAAATCTCGGCAAAATGCAAAATTTGTGACAAAAGGAGTATTTTTACAGAAGGAGTATTTCCTCCAGAAAGGATTATTTCCTTCAGAGAGACCGTTGGTTAGCAAGGTTAGCTAACTTTTTTGACCCCGCCTCTTAAAAGAATCGGAATCGAGAATCGTTAGGAACCGGAATCGAAACAAGGAATCGGAATCGGAATCGGAATCGTTCAAATTCAAACGATACCCAACCCTAGTGTTTATGAACGCCGTTGACATAACGTTACATAAATATATGACTTAGCTCAACCCCGTCCCTAAACTTAACCATCACTGGGGTTAATGGCCTTTATGACTGGAGATTTGACCGCGTGTACAGACACGCGGAATGACGTGGACGTTAATGGGGTAGACATATGCGGATACACGCGGATAGCTCAAAATGCGTAGAGATAACACGCCACCTGACTCGAAAGTGGCGTGTATGTTTACGCAAAAGTCATGATGTCATGTTGATCACACGGCACAAGCTGATTGGCCTCTGCTGATCCTGCAGCCAATGAGATTGCTCTCTAGTCTGGTTCAGTGTTTGCTGTAAGCTACCCCTCCACCTCCCCAGCTCCACCTGTCTAGAGCTGCTACGGGATTGCTGTATGTATATTTATGCAGCGGCTGCATATCTTACATGCTAACAGCAGCGTCTCTGTGTATATATTAGCTGTAGCAAGTCAAGAGAACAAAATGAGTTGTTGCAATCGGGCTGTTTTTCCCTCCATCATAAATGAGTTGTGTCTCAGACGGGTTTCTTGCTGGCACTGGATTGGGGATTGTGTCGTCGTCGAGTCCGACTGTCAAAGGCGATCCACGTGATGCCTGAACCCACCCCACCAATGCGGCGAGGTCCCTCCACGGACAACTGTGCCTTTGTCAAGTCCCACAAATACAAATAAACAAAGTCAGTTTCCCGGGAAGCTCGACTGATGAGCTGGGTTGATGAAATCCGCCATATGTGCCTCGAGGGAACCATTTCTCTATTCAAAGCACAATAATAGGTCTGTGGTGATAACTCCAAAACACTGACAAAAAACGACACAAAAACACACCGCAAGCTATATATCACATCTATCAAGGTTGAGCTGCATACAAAGGCTTGGAGATGAAAGGTTCACACAGTACTTAATAATATCCACACGGTAATCCACATGAAGACAAGCAGGCAAACACAACCACACATGAACGAGCCGCACAAATGTAAACCGCAAACACAGGACTGCATGTCTTAAAGGAGAACTTTATCCCAAAACATTATCCCATCATTTCCTCATCCTAGATGTATATGACATGCTTCTTTCAGCCAAACACAATCTGAGTTATATCAAAAAATATCATGGCTCTTCCAAGCTTCATAACGGGAGTGAATGGTACTTTAAAAAGCCCCATAAAGTGCATAAACATATATACTAGTACATTGATATTAGGATGCCTACTACGTAAAGTATACTTGAAAGTATATTTTATACTAAAAAGTGGGCCAATTTACTCCCACACATTATTGAAATTGTACACTTACAAGTATACTAATACTACATTGATATTAGTATGCATACTACATTAAGTATACTTAAAAGTATATTTTATACTAAAAAGTGGGCCAATTTACTCTCACATAGTATTGTACACTTACAAGTATACTAGTACATTGATATTAGGATGCCTACTACTTAAAGTATACTTGAAAGTATATTTTATACTAAAAAGTGGGCCAATTTACTCCCACACATTATTGAAATTGTACACTTACAAGTATACTAATACTACATTGATATTAGTATGCCTACTATGTAAAGTATACTTAAAAGTATATTTTACACACTAAGAAGTGGGCTAATTTACTCCCACACAGTATTGAAATAGTACACATACAAGTATACTACTAGTACATTGATAGTATGCATACTACATAAAGTATACTTAAAGGTTTATTTTATACTAAAAAGTGGGCCAATTTAGTCATAAGCTGTTTCGAAATTGTACACTTACAAGTATACCAATACTACATTGATATTAGTATGCCTACTACATAAAGTATACTTAAAAGTATATTTTACACACTAAGAAGTGGGCTAATTTACTCCCACACATTATTGAAATAGTACACATACAAGTATACTACTAGTACATTGATAGTATGCATACTACATAAAGTATACTTAAAGGTATATTTTATACTAAAAAGTGGGCCAATTTAGTCATAAGCTGTTTCGAAATTGTACACTTACAAGTATACCAATACTACATTGATATTAGTATGCCTACTACATAAAGTATACTTAAAAGTATATTTTACACACTAAGAAGTGGGCTAATTTACTCCCACACATTATTGAAATAGTACACATACAAGTATACTACTAGTACATTGATAGTATGCATACTACATAAAGTATACTTAAAGGTATATTTATACTAAAAAGTGGGCCAATTTAGTCATAAGCTGTTTTGAAATTGTACACTTACAAGTATACTAATACTATATTGATATTAGTATGCATACTACATAAAGTATACTTAAAAGTATATTTTACACACTAAAAAGTGGGCCAATTTACTCCCACACAGTATTGAATTAGTTCACAAGTATACTACTAGTACATTGATAGTATGCATACTACATAAAGTATACTTTAAAAGTGGGCCACTTTAGTCCCACACAGTATTGAATTAGTTCACAAGTATACTACTAGTACATTGATAGTATACATACTACATAAAGTATACTTAAAAATATATTTTATACTAAAAAGTGGGCCACTTTAGTCCCACACAGTATTGAAATATTGTAATAAAGCGATGTTTCTCTGTGTCCCGCAGGTCTGATTCTGTTGTTCTATCTGGTCTTCTACACGTTTCTGGCCGGCATGTTCTGCCTCACGATGTATGTGATGCTCCTGACGCTGGACGATTATAAGCCCACTTGGCAGGACCGTCTGTCTACACCAGGTACAAATACACTATAATCACAAGCACAAACAGATGCCATCATTTTCACACACACTATCATGCAACTGTGTGCGTATGCGTTTCTAGGGATGATGATTCGGCCAAAAGGAGAAGCTCTAGAAATCGTTTACAATATTAAGGAAACAGAGAGCTGGGACTCGTACATTCAGGCCCTGGATAACTTCCTCGCACGTAAGTAAATAGAGAGATTTGGGGGGGAAAAGTATGCAATGAAGTAAAATGACTCACTATCTCACATATCTATGAATGTTTTCATCTGGAAGAGTAGAACATGGTGCTCGCCACACGTGGGTTTGATAAATGTATGAACTGGTGATAAAAATGCATGTATTGCTTTGGATAAAAGCATCTGGGAAACGGATAAATGGCTCAAATGCAGTTCGACAAAGTATTGAAAGTATCCAGTGTTTTTAAGAATTATTCACTCACAAATAAACTTTTAGTAACTCACCCACGTGTATGTCCAAACCTGTACGACTTTCCTTCACACAAGGACAAAAATCACCATATAAGCATCATAACAGTGTGTTTCAGGGCAGTTTTATTTATATACTATTATGGGTTTTTTTTTATTAGTATTTTGAATTAGCTTTCATTGTTATATTTTAATTATTTTAATTATTTTTTATGTGCTTTGGTAATTTTTATAAGTTTTTGTTCTTTTTAAATATTAATATTTTGGTTTAATTTATTATATATATATATTTTTTTAATTATTCCAGTTGCTTTTGCTAAAACCTACTTTAGTTTTATTGCCAATGCAACATTTAATTTTTTTATTATAGGTTTTCATAATGTTTTGTCTTAGTTAATGCTAATATTCCTGCTACATTGTTTATATATTATCATCTATTTTTTATTGATATATTGAATTGGCTTTTTTAAATTTTACTTTTAGTTTTTTGTTCATTTTCAAATATATTACACTTTAGGTTTAAATTTAATTCGTGTTTATTTCAGTTTTGGTTTTTATTTATTTCCAGTTAATCATTTTAGAGCTCCAACTTCCGACTTATTTTACATTTATACATTTATGCATTTGCCAGAAGCTTTTATCCAAAGCGACACAAGATACACATTCTTATCAGTTTTTAATTTTCATCTAATATTTTAATTTTATTTTAGCTTCATGTCAATAAATAAAAATGTTTTTTTTTAATAGTCTTAGTTAATAAGCCTGCTACATTATTTATGTACTATTATAGTTGACTAATATTTTGAATTAGCTGTTATTTTTATATTTTCCATTTTTTGTTGTAATTTCTGTCATTATGTTTCGTGCTTTTGTCACTTTCGGTTTTCGTTGTTTTTACTATTTACATTTACACATTGGTAGATGCTTTTATCCAAAGTGACTTACATTGCATTACAAGATACACAATTTACACTCTTATCGGTTCTTGCTTTCCCTGGGAATCGAACCCATGCCCTTAACGTTGCAAGCGCCAACGCTAGAAAGCAAGAACTGATATTTATGCTTATTTCAAATATTTAGTTTGAATTTATTTACAGGTCAACTTGAATGTATCTCATATTCTAATCTTTAGTTAGTGATAATGAGCGCGGTGGAGTAACATGGAGTACAGAAAGCTTGACCTTTGGCCTGTTTCTCCACAGCCTATAACAACTCTCAGCAGGCGATGAACAACGACGACTGCCCCCCAGATACATACTTCATTCAGGAGGACAGCGGAGACGTGCGCAACAACCCCAAACGCTCCTGCCAGTTCAACCGCACCATCCTGGAGGATTGCTCCGGACTCACCGACCGCACGTACGGATACGAGGCGGGCAAACCCTGCGTCCTCATCAAACTCAACCGGGTAACTGGCCAATCACAGCACAGATCACGTCATATTCATCATTCCAGATTAATGTACTGGATGTTGAAAACTGATAACTCGTTTCGTGTTTCTTTGGACGTTTCCAGTTTGAATGCGAGGCTGCTTGAGAATAGAAGTTAAAGCACGTAAGATAAATAAGATATTTAAACGTTGAAGAAAATTGTTCATGGCTTAAAATAGCTTGAATGTAACCCGACACCCTAACCTCATTCAGTATGCTCGGTTCTATGAATATGCAAATGAGCCCCGCCTCCACTCACTCACAGATTGCGTCACAGTATTTGAGTAGGCCTGAGATTACGTTTCCTTCACACATATTTTATAACCATCATAAATCAGGTTTCTTTCAACAGCATTTACACTCAAAATTCATACTATGAAAACCATTTTTAAATTAGAAACAGCCTAACGTTTTAGCGGCGGCTCAACTTTTTGCGATACTGACCAAAAATACATATTTAAAAGTTGTTTTCCTCGAAGAAAATTGTTCATGCCTTAAAATATCTTGAATGTAACTCGACACCCTTGCCTCATGCTTGAAAATAGAAGTTAATAGTAGAAATGCTTGAGAATAGAAGTTAAAGCACGCAAGATAAATACTGTAAGATATTTAAACGTTGAAGAAAATTGTTCATGGCTTAAAATAGCTTGAATGTAACCCGACACCCTAACCTCATTCAGTATGCTCGGTTCTATGAATATGCAAATGAGCCCCGCCTCCACTCACTCATTCACAGATTGCATCACAGTATTTGAGTAGGCACAGCATTTACACTCAAAATGCATACTAGGAAAACCATTTTTAAAATAGAAACAGCCTAACGTTTTAGCGGCGGCTCAACTTTTTGCGATACTGACCAAAAGACATATTTAAACGTTTTTTCCTTGAAGAAAATCGTTCATGCCTTAAATATCTTGAATGTAACTCGACACCCTTGCCTCATTTAGTATCCGCGGCTATGAAAATGCAAATGAGCCCCGCCTCCACTCACTCAATCCACTGGTTGACGATCACTCGTTGATCTGATTGGTTACAAGGTCGTTTGTGACGTCAGAAACACCAGCGATTTCAAAGCGTGTTTTTGAGACTGTCACATGGTGTGTTAAAGCGTATTAAAAACACCAGATAGAGTCATAAACAACCTTAATTTTGGTCAGATTCGGTTCCAGTCTTCGGTTTCTCCATATCACTTCTGCATTCACAGGGCAGAAAACAGCGTCTTCTCGACATGAACGAACCAAACTCTTCCAGTCTCAGACACACTGCAGTGTTTAACGTCAAAGCAGCAGACAATGAAAACCATAGACTGTGAATTTGTTTCATCATTATGTAGGAATGTAACATGAAGTGAGACTGGATCTAAGGATCTTTCATCGGTTCAGAATCAGTTCGGGAATGTCCGAAAAGGGCATTTTATAGAGGATATGCATGGCAGAAGAGCTGATGAGTGACTGGATTTTATATGGGAAACTGTGAAAACGCCAGTAAAATAAACTATTATCAGTCTAAACTAAAGATTGGACTCGATATAGTGTTCATCTTACCAAAGATACAGTGATCACGGTTATCGACATGCAGCAGGAATCCTGTTTCCTGACATTAATACAAATAAATGTGTCTGTAAACGCTTTATATAAATACAATATAGGTCTAAATCCATGTGATCACTCATATCAATGTTAAAGCTACACCGTGTAAGTTTATTCTTAGCTAAAAACACTTAGTTCTTTCAAAAATATATGTGCTCAATGCTCATTCATGTATATTTACTTCGTTCAAGCAATGAATGTATAATATGCCACTGAAAATACATACGGGTAAGGGGTTCGCCATGTTGCCCCCTCCATCTTGAAAGTACATCAGCCAAAGAGGGACATACCCGTTAATTCAAGCTTCGCCTTTCGCGTTTACGTTTGAGTTAACGCTCATGGACGAGGTCGAACTGGAAGCCATGTTAATCTTGGACTACATTGGCCACCGTAGGAGTTAAAACGAAATCGGAATTGAGAGGAACAGAAACTAATATTCACTAGATGGTTATATACCTTTTCACCACTAGATGGGGGTAAAAATCACACGGTGCAGCTTTAAATATAGATCATCATATCATCCAGCCCGAAAACTTGTAAAACTGTTTATTCGAAAACATCCATCCAATTATACAGAATGTATGATGGTGAATATTTAATTGATGAGTTGTCAATACAATATATAAGGTATCCTTAAATTCAGCAAATTCCCGCAAAATGGTCACAGCAAATCCGCCTTTCTCTGCCCGGATCCAGTTGTTTATGTGAATCCATTAGCGTCTCTGTTCTGTAGCTTTTGGCAGTCTGTAAAAATATACCTGATTTCTTGTCACATCTACAGTATTTGTACAGTCAATCTCAAAGCTCTTTCCCGTTTTAGTTGCGTTTTGTGTTTTTGCGATGCTGCCACTCGGGCCGACGGTGACGTCACACGCATACCCTCTATCATCAGTCCTTTTGATGATAAGTGCTGTATTATCCTTCCCTCATGAGCGCTGTCTCTCCTGCAGGTGATTGGGATGAGGCCAGGAAAGAAAATCATAGGAAGTCAGGACATTCAAGCTCCGTACGTGACCTGCGGGGCAAAGGTGAGTGAGATCTACCTGACCTTCAGCCAACCATCATGACAAACTCATCACTAACAGCAAGTCAAGCATCAATAATGTCTGTTCACTGCATCCCTCCGTACTCAGAGATATAAAGTGGGAGACGAGTGGGTAAGAAAGAGACTAGAATACACACTTAGCTTCCCATAAACCCTCACCGTAGACTAGCACACATGCTACATTAGTGCACACCCTAACTAGTGTTAGTTGAAGCCCTTCTTTCAGCCTGTGGTTCATGTGTCTTTATGCTTAATTACTGATTTTTAGTGCAACTTTGATATTGTTAGAAATATTTCTATAAGCCACTTCAGTTTACGGATTATCCATGCATCATTTGTAAGTGCTAAATGCGTGTGTTTACATGATATATGTGTGTATAATTATTCTGTATATATAAATACACACACATGCATGTATATATTTAAGAAAAAGTGGGTATTTAAGTAAAATATCTACATTTATATAATAAAAATTGCATATAAATATATATAAATGCAAATATTTCTGAACATATGTGTTTACATGATATACTGTATGTGTGTGTACTGTGTATAATTATTCTGTATAAAGACACACACATGCATGTATATATTTAAGAAAAATGGTAATTATATAAAATATTTCGATTTAAATAATATGAATATATATATACATGCAAATATTTCTGAACATATTTGTTTACATGATATGTATGTGTACGTGTATAATTAATTTGTAAATATAAATACACACACATGCATGTATATATTTAATAAGAAAATGGAATTTATATAAAATATCTAGATTTATATAATATAAATGTATATATACATGCAAATATTTCTGAACATATACATGCATGTGTGTATTTATATATATATATATATATATATATATACAAAATAATTATAAACAGCACACACACATATATTATGTAATACAAGCATATTTTGGATGCGATTAATCATTGCACAGCAATAATCATTGTAGGCTATATGTGATGTGAATATCAAATATGATCATCAGGCTTTTGAGGAAGGTCTATCTGTCAATCATATTGCATTGCATAATAAAACTAAGCATTTAAATATCATCTTACTTAGACATATTATTAGCAGATATAGAGTAATGAGTGATATTTATATGCATTTTATGTCAGTACCTGTTATAAATATATCATTTATTTACATTACAAGCATCAGAAATTCATAAATTTTTGTCCATATTAATATCAGCATTTGCACCAATTTGCATATTTTTGATGATTTTGGGCCTCTGAATAAAACTTTTTTCTCCTCTATATTCTCAGAATATCATACTATATGAGCCATAAAAGCCTGATGTTTCAAACATGATACTCAATTAAAAACACATATACAAACTTGTTTTGTATATGAATAATTTCATTGTTTAAATGCTCAATAAACGGTTCCATTAAAAAAATAATTATAACCTTTTAGACTATTATTTTATAAGTTAGGCAAAACGAAAAAACCCTAATAGAGTATTTAAGCTTCATCCAGGAAATGCCAGCAATATTTTAAATCATGCTATTAAAATGCTAATTCCGGCTGGCATGTTAATTCATGCTAGCACAATGCTAATGATAGCAAAATGCTAAACCATGGTAGCAAAGTTGCGAAACATGTAAGCAACATGCAAATTCATGCTAGTATGAGGTCAATCATGTTAGCTATGTGCTAATTCATGTTAGCAAAGTGTTAAATCATGTTAAAAACATGCTAATTCATGCTTGCAAGGGAATGACAGAAAGAACCAGGCTTAAATAGGGGGAGCAAACAAGAAGATGAGACACGGGTGAAAACAATGAGAGCAGGCAGAGAATTATGGGAGATGTAGTTTGTGAGGGAATGACAATAGTCTGTTGTGGAGTGCCCTCTGGTGGCTCTCAAGGGCACTCCAGCTGGTGACCATTACCTAATGTGCTAATCAATGCTAACAAAGGGCTAAAACATGTTAGCAACATGCTAATTTGAGCTTACAAAGCACTAAAAAATGCTAGCAAGATGCTAATTCATTCATTCTTTCTTTCTACTTCACTCAATTTAAAGCTTATAAAACCAGGGACATCAAAGTTTGTCTTTCTAGTTTAAATGATTTTGGTTGAGAGTCACTGTGCTTTACATTGCGCTGAGATTTTTCTCTTGTTCTGTGTAGAAGGAAGATTCGGATACCATTGGCGAAATCGCTTTCTTCCCTCCTAACGGAACCTTCAACCTCATGTATTATCCATACTACGGCAAGAGAGCACAGGCAAGAACACACACACACACACACACACCACTGTTGTGTGATTATATACGCGTGTAACCACCGTGTGTGTTCGTTTAGGTGAATTATTCTCAGCCTCTGGTGGCCGTGAAGTTCACAAACATCACTTTCAACATGGACATCAATGTGGAGTGTAAGATCAACGCTCTCAACTCTGAGTCTGACCCCGAACAAAAGTTCAGCGAGAGAGACAAGTTCGCTGGCCGTGTGTCCTTCAAGCTGCGCATCAACAAAATGTAGAGCAACTACATCTGCCACACACACACACACACAGGAGATTGTAGGAGGTGTCAATCATATCTCAAAGAGTTTAATGTTTTTGTTCGTCCTCATACTCGGGTCTCCATGATGATTTCTGTGTGCGTGCGTGTCTTTGTATCTCTGTGTGTTTTGAGTACTCTTGACTGTCGTCATACCCAGCTGATCTCATTCCAAAGTGAAATCAAGAGAGCAGGAAAATAGCCTTTCTAAATCTCTCGACAACCAATACAGACATAATCAAAATCTCATGAACAATCCAGTGAATTCAGGGGGACCACAATCATTCAAGAGTTTAGATTTTACGTCAAGAAAATCAAGCCTATTACTATTTTTTTCCTCATTATTTTCATGACATTTTCCCCATTTGTGCTTAAATAATTGTCATGAAAATAATGTAAAATGTGAAAAATCTCGCCCTAAAATAAGCTTAATTTTCTGTATGCAAAATACACTCTCTTACTTATTGATATCGAGCTGAAAAACAATCTGGATTCACTCGTTTAGTCTATAAAATAGCTGTTACGCGACTGCGAGTGTGTAATAAATCACACAAATTCGAGAAGTCAAATCAGGTTGAATTCAACTAATCGATAAAGTCTGAATGAATAAGGAAATATGCTAATATGACTGATTAATAAATAGAGCCATGAACTTTCCATATCTGTCCAAGTGAGGTATATATCGCAGTCTTAACCGGATATCTGTTGTATCCATCCATTTATTTATTTATTTATTTATTGCTTGATTGATTGATGAATTAAGGTACATTTATGATGTTATTCATTTATTTATTTATTATCTGATTTGTGGTTTTTATTTTTTATATGACAATGTTTGTGGGAACACTTTTGTAACACTGTAATGTTCACAAACGCACACACACACAAGCTGTTAAACGATTGGCTGACGTTCTGCACACGCTCAGATTGCACTCAACGACTTAGCCAATCAGCTTCAAGCTGCGCCATATCAGTTCGCCGCTTGTTTCGTGCTTAATTTGCCCAGTCGACTAATAATGTACTTGCTCCATTTTTGTCCAGAATGGTTCGACCCATCTTTCTAAATGTGTACACACAGCAATACCTTCTGGTCCAAGAGTGTACTGTTAATACTTGTAAATAATAGCGAATCTGGGGTAGTTAGCGAAGAGAGTAGTTGCAAAGAAAAGGGGTTCCTGGGTGAAAGAAAAAAACTTGCCAATCCAATATTAACTAATGTAGATGAATGAATAAACAAACGTGTTTTTCTTCCCAAAAAGTGTTTTTTTTAATTCCTTTGTTGTTGAGCACATCATGCGTTAGCTGCACTTTAGCGCACAGCGAGAAAATTACGCGAACATTAGATAAACATATTTCTCAAAGATTCTGTTCATTTCTTCTTAGCTTTTAGTAGGATCTTAGATTTTTATCATGTGATTTGACATTTGGATGTTCAAGGGGGTTCGAGTCAAACGGACGTTATCAATAGCGTAGTGCTTATTAGCGAACCACTAGCCTGCCGTCGATTACGTGCGGGCGGCCGGCCGGCCTGTCTGTTTTTTCTTTTTCTTTCGTGTTTTTAACAATCCAATCCCTTATTTCGCCCCCAGTAGTGAATGTGCTGTGTTTCTATTGGGTTACTGCCACAGTGTTGTGCATTTGAAACATTGGCGGGTGTGTGTTAGAAAAGTGTGTGGGGAAAAAAAAAAAGAGCCAAACGCGGCCATACTTTTAAATTAACGTCACTAGTTCATCCGTCGCACATCAGAACAGAAGTTACGGGCCTGATGTTGGGAACAGTTCAATGTTTACAAAGAGCAGTGACTAATAACTAGATTAGCCGCGTGCTAAACTTACGCTGCCTGCCGTATGTTTACTAAGATCTCCTTCACGTGTGCTGCCTGTCATGGAATAGATTTTATATGTTTTTAAGATACGGTAAATCGAATTATTGCACATTCGTTTCGACTTCTGTATCTTAGATGCAGAAGCGAATCATTTGAGCGTGTGTATACCGCCGCGAGTGTAGTCAACTTACATTTTTCATACGACTTATTAATTTCCGTAAGACGAAAAATTCAATCGGACAGGAATTTAGGACGTCACCATTGAAACGGTGCATGATGTCATTGGTGTAACTGAGTGTTTAGGCACGGTCACATTTACCGTTGCTCAGCACATTCTTGCGGGCGAATTCCAGTCAGGAATTCGCGCGATTGGGAGTTTAGCGTGAGAGCGAATGTGTTCCCCATGTAGATTTCGCTGGTGCTCGAGTTGGACACGCAAATTCTCCGCTTGGTTTGAAAGTGAGCAGTTCTTAATATGCTATTGCACGCGAAATTTCGCCCGATTTTCGCTAGTGTGACCGCACCTTTACAGCTTCAATTGAACCAACACGCTTCAGACATTATCATCGATGACACATGGCGAAAAACACAGGCTTACACAAACAACGGCAACGACAAACACACCTGCGCTACTAGAAACTCATTACAGAGTTTTTCACTCCCTCTCACACACTGACGGCATCTTTGAGCTCTTTGTCCCCGTCTGTAAGTTTCTCTCCATTCCAATAACTCGACACGCTCGTCACTTTGACTTTTCGCCGGATGACTTCAATAGCTCACAGACTCATCCCGGTTTTTCATCTGTCCTTCATAGTGAGACGGTGTCTTATTCTTTCTTCACTCTCTGTAAAAACACTGCTCAGAAACTAGATGTATCTTATTAAATATCCTGAATATACTGTTATATATTGCCTGACATGAAAATTGTGAAACTTATATTCGAAAAATCAAATGATTATCATTATAAATGAAAAATGGAAAAGGAAATAAAACATTTTGTGTTAAACAAACATTTGTTTGTTGTCTTTTTTGTTGTTAAAAAAACTGTAAATGAAACTAAATTACTCTGTTTCAATATAAGTTCTGTCATGAAACTCTAGATGGCGCAGGCTGATTGGTCCTGAACTCAATCTGCTTGTAATCAGATCTTTCTCTATAGGGCACAGCTGATTGCTTCCTGCTGTATCAGTAGCCAATGAGCTCGCTGCTCAACCTTCAAATACTTGGTCAGCATTTGCTGTAGCAGTTCTCATCGCGCTTTCATACACCCTCCACCTTCCCCAGCTCCACCTGTATAGGTCTACTATGGGTAATACATGTATGCTATATTGTACAGAAGCAGCATGTCTTACTTGATCAACAGCAGCAACAATATCCAACAGCAGCAGCAATAACAGCAGGAATAACCAACCGCAGCAGCAGCAACAGTAGCAGCAGCAATAACAGTAACAGCAGCAACAGTAGCAGCAGAAACAACAGCAGTAGCAGCAATAAGAGTAACAGCAGCAGCAATAACAGTAACAGCAGCAGCAGCAATAACAGTAACAGCAGCAGCAGCAATAACAGTAACAGCAGCAGCAGCAATAATAGTAACAACAATAACAGTAACAGCAGCAGCAGCAATAACAGTAACAGCAACAGCAGCAGCAATAATAGTAACAACAATAACAGCAGCAGCAACAACAATAACAGCAGCAACAGTAGCAGCAGAAACAACAGCAGCAGCAGCAGCAATAACAGTAACAACAGCAACAGTAGCAGCAGAAACAACAGCAGTAACAGCAATAAGAGTAACAGCAGCAGCAATAAAAGTAACAGCAGCAGCAATAACAGTAACAACAGCAACAGTAGCAGCAGAAACAACAGCAGTAACAGCAATAAGAGTAACAGCAGCAGCAATAACAGTAACAGCAGCAGCAGCAATAACAGTAACAGCAACAGCAACAGCAGCAGCAATAATAGTAACAACAATAACAGTAACAGCAGCAGCAGCAATAACAGTAACAGCAACAGCAGCAGCAATAATAGTAACACCAATAACAGCAGCAGCAGCAACAATAACAGCAGCAACAGTAGCAGCAGAAACAACAGCAGTAGCAGCAATAAGAGTAACAGCAGCAGCAATAACAGTAACAGCAGCAATAACAGTAACAGCAGCAGCAGCAATAACAGTAACAGCAACAGCAGCAGCAATAATAGTAACAACAATAACAGCAGCTGCAACAACAATAACAGTAACAGCAGCAGCAGCAATAACAGTAACAGCAACAGCAGCAGCAATAATAGTAACAACAATAACAGCAGCAGCAATAAGAGTAACAGCAGCAGCAATAACAGTAACAGCAGCAATAACAGTAACAGTAGCAGCAGCAATAACAGTAACAGCAACAGCAGCAGCAATAATAGTAACAACAATAACAGCAGCTGCAACAACAATAACAGTAACAGCAGCAGCAGCAATAACAGTAACAGCAACAGCAGCAGCAATAATAGTAACAACAATAACAGCAGCAACAACAATAACAGCAGCAGCAGTAGCAGCAGAAACAACAGCAGCAGCAGCAATAACAGTAACAGCAGCAGCAGCAGCAATAATAGTAACAACAATAACAGCAGCAACAACAATAACAGCAGCAACAGTAGCAGCAGAAACAACAGCAGCAGCAGCAATAACAGTAACAGCAGCAGCAGCAGCAATAATAGTAACAACAATAACAGCAGCAACAACAATAACAGCAGCAACAGTAGCAGCAGAAACAACAGCAGCAGCAGCAATAACAGTAACAGCAGCAGCAGCAGCAATAATAGTAACAACAATAACAGCAGCAGCAACAACAATAACAGCAGCAACAGTAGCAACAGAAACAACAGCAGCAGCAGCAATAACAGTAACAGCAGCAATAACAGCAGCAGCAATAACAGTAACAGCAGCAGCAATAACAGTAACAGCAGCAGCAATAATAGTAACAGCAATAACAGCAGCAGCAGCAATAACAGTAACAGTAGCAATAACAGTAACAGCAGCAGCAATAACAGTAACAGCAGCAGCAATAACAGTAACAGCAGCAGCAATAACAATAACAGCAGCAGCAATAACAGTAACAGCAGCAGCAATAATAGTAACAGCAATAACAGCAGCAGCAGCAATAACAGTAGCAATAACAGTAACAGCAGCAGCAATAACAGTAACAATAACAGCAGCAGCAATAACAGTAACAGCAGCAGCAGCAATAACAGTAACAGCAGCAGCAGCAATAACAGTAACAGCAGCAGCAGCAATAACAGTAACAGCAATAACAGTAACAATAACAGCAGCAGCAATAACAGTAACAATAACAGCAGCAGCAATAACAGTAACAGCAATAACAGTAACAGCAGCAGCAGCAATAATAGTAACAGTAATAACAGTAAGAGCATAACAGTAACATAAGCAATAACAGCAGCAGCAATAACAGTAACAGCAGCAATAACAGTAACAGCAATAACAGTAACAGCAGCAGCAATAACAGTAACAGCAGCAGCAATAACAGTAACAGCAATAACAGTAACAGCAGCAGCAATAACAGTAACAATAACAGCAGCAGCAATAACAGTAACAGCAGCAGCAGCAGCAATAACAGTAACAATAACAGCAGCAGCAATAACAGTAACAGCAGCAGCAGCAGCAATAATAGTAACAGTAATAACAGTAAGAGCATAACAGTAACAGAAGCAATAACAGCAGCAGCGTAGTAGATATATATTCTGCTAAGATTCTGCTCATATTAACACAAACACTGTATGCGTATGAATTGTCTTTGCAAACTCACTTCTGGGGAATATTTTGTGAAAAATTTTATGTCATTTTCATACAGAGAGAAATATCTGAATGATGCTACACACTGAGAGCTTTATTTATCATCTTATGTAATAAGACTTTGGTAAAAGCAGATGTAATTCCCAATCTGATCCTCTGTGTGTCGTCTCCATATAAGAAAGAAACAACAACAAATATATCATTTAAATCTCAATTGTTTCTCCTGGATCAGCCATTCTCAACTGGTTTTGCTTCAGCACACTGTACAAAATATGTCTATGGTGCAAAAGCAACAAAATTATTTTCTTAAAATCAAACAAATGAAATGTATTAATATTATCATAAACGGTATGACATGAGCTGAATAGGACAATTGAGAATGTTGGTTTCTAAATGTCTCTTGAATCCAGTTTCTACCATGTGACGGAGGAATTTCTGCTGAAATATTGCACACATAACCTTTGACATCAGACACAAAAGATATGAGGGGTGTTTTCTGATAATTCTGTTTATTTTACTATCTTAACTGTGCATGACTGAACTGCTAGCTGTGTGCTCCTGTTTGCATTGATCATCGTTTCTTCCCTCCCCATCACTATCTGCTCATCACACACTGCACATTCATCAGTCGTGACCCACCAGTTAAGAAACATAGACGTATGTTCCTGCTTTTCTCTTGAGAATAAGACCCAAATAATCATGGAATCATAATAATGTCTATCGTAGAGTTTCAGGAGAGATAATGTCTCAAACTGTGTTCAGATTTGCCAAGATGAACGGACTAATTTCTAATCAAATGCAGGCATTGGAGGCTCAGAGAAACATATGAGACAAAGTTGATACCATAAATATAAAGCTTTGAAAGAGCTGTAACATTTGAGTATTTTTATGTCTGACACAGTTTGAGCAACAGTAATCTGTTACTAGTAAACTAGTGAAATGTTTCGACTTTCTCTGATAAACCGCTCATAAATAATTTATCAAATCTATAAAAAAAAAAACAAAGTGAAATAGCGACATCTATTGTACAAACAGGTGATGAGACCAGAGAATGTCTAATTGAAGAGAATTGGCACTGGCTGGTTACTTCCGGGTTCTGGACTGGCTGCAGTAACACGTCTCTGTCCATGCGGGGGCGCTCGCGGTCGAGTGCAGAATGAATGGGAGTCAATGGGGTTTCAACCCCCAGAAATCCACTTTTCTCAGGATGTAATTTTTTGTCAAGTAATTTGAAAGTTGCATTCAAAAGGGAGGGCTAAGAAAATACACTCAGCTGAAAATTGCATTTTTAAGTTTACTTATCTGTTCTAAAAATCCGTTCAAAACTGTGATGACGTCACACAATAGCAGAATGCTAGCGTGTTTCCGGTCAACAATGGCCTAACCTGTAAGAAATCAAAAGGACAAAAGTACTCGTTCATTCGACTTTTGGCCTATAATCTACAGTATATTGAACTTGCGGAATCAACAATAAAATCTATATTGATTCAATGACAAGCAGGAGAAAGAGACACATTTAGCCGTTTAGCCCCATAGACTCCCATTCATTCTGCTCTCGCCCGTGATCACCCCCAGTGGAATTCTAATGGAACTGCAGCCAAGATGACACACAACGGGGCTAATAGGAAGTGCCAAGGCTCTGCGTTAGACGGGCTCTGGATGAGACACATTATTTTCCCCTGCTGGACCAGAAGATCCCAGATTCTTTTCACACCGACATGAAGAAAATACCAAGCAACCACATAACAACATAATATAAGGCACTTAAAAAAATAAGGTGGATATAATATGTTAATGTTAAAGGCCCACTGAAGTGCCTTGGAACGGACAGATTTGTATGATGATGCGTTGGCATTATTTCCACTGAAACAGGAAGCTTAGGCGGGATATATTGGTAGGCTCCTCCCCGTTTTCAAATAGCCAATAGCGTTTCGTTTACCTCACAGACTGACAGCAGCACGGAAGCGAATCTGAGCGCTGATGATACGCTGGATTCAATGGTAAAGCTGTGAATACATTTTAGAGATGTGAACAAATTTCATTCTTAACTACAGTACAGTTGGAAAACAATAAAACTCGGCGTTTGAGTAACCGAACACACATCTCCAACCCATATTGCGCCGTGACGGTCAATGGTCACTTTGGCCAGGTGGTGTTTATACCATAGGGGGCGGAGCTTTAGATTCTAGAGACCATTTGATTGGACAGAATATGTGATGAGAAGTGAAGTCATAAAAATCTGTATACATTTTAGCGGAAGTGTGGCCCAGATAGCAAACTGACATTGAATCAACGTGGAAATATGACATCGAAACAACGTTGATCTGACATAGTTTTGCTCATCGAATTAACGTTGAACCAACGTGAGACACGTCATTCTTTCAAAACTAACGGAAAATCAACTTGAAATCAACGCGTCGTTTCAACGTTATGAAAGCAAACCAATTTTCGATTTTCATTTAGCTTTGAAGAATGCCGCGTCTGACGTTGGTTCAACGTTAATTCGATGAGCAAAATCAACGTTGTTTCAATGTCATGAGAGACGTCGTTTCCACGTTGATTCAATGTCAGTTTGCTGTCTGGGGGGACTATAAGTTTTGAAAGCTTATATTGCCTAAATGTGAATTTTGTCATTGTTTAGGAACACACCAGCTGATTCATAACCTTAAGGCTAACATATTCATACTAAAAGCTAAAAAATTGGATTTCAGTTGGCCTTTAAGATCCATATATCTCTGTTGTGTGTGAGTGTTTGTATGTGTGCTAAGGCAAGTCCAGCATGTTTCTCATCTCAAGCTCTCTCTGTGTCCGTTGGTGAATTTCTTGGATCGCTGCGACGACGACGTGGATCACAGGCTCCGCCTCTTCCTGCGTTTGCACACACACCAGCTGCAGGAAAACTTTGCGGTCGGGCATCGCATGAAACACCAACTCGGCCGCGCGCTGCACAAGCCATGGATGATGCGGCGCTAAAACCTCCAGGTACGCGTCGCGACATAGTTCGCCCATGCTACGCCCCTCGCGCTCCGTCACTAGCTTGTCCAGCAGAAGCTGTAACCACAGCAACGAGCGATGGAGGCGGAGCAAAGTCCGACTCCCGGAAGGCGTTTGACTGTCGAAGGAGACCAAGCCCCTCTGTAGCTCCGCCTCCAGCATGGAACGCACCGAATAGTAGGCGTGGCTACGGTGAGGGGGCGGAGCTACACGCTGAGCATCATCAGTCGTAGCGATTTTAGAGTCTTCCAGCGAGAGCTGTCGTATGAGTGTGATCTTCTCCTCAACTTTATGAGTGAAGAAGCCCACCAGAGGGCCCAGAGACTCCATGAACCTGACCAGACACAACATCAGTGTGAGACTGAGGAATCATCGTATGAACAACACATTCGTCATAGTTATTGTTACATAAATATATACACACTATAAACAATGTTTCTTTGGAATGTATAATAGAGTTTTTGAATAGATTAATAAATACTTTAACAAATGTATTGCTCATTGTTAGTTAATACATTAACTTATGTTAACTATTATGTCCGCGAAAGTAGGTATTTGAAATAATCTCCAATATTTAACGAAAGATTCGATTGCCAGACGTGGTCTTAGATGCAAAGTTGCTGAGAATGCGTAGTTCTACCATATGTATGAATGTCGTGTGCGAAACATCGTGTGAAATACAATCCTTTACGAACATGAAAAACGCAAGGGCGCCAATTTCTTTTGAATTTCTCACATGCCTCTGGGGCCGCGAGTCAAACACGCCCACTCTGAACATTTTGCCGTCATAGATCGAAATTTGTTCCATTTTTTTTTTTTTTACAATTATTGGCAGTCACATTGGAATCTTCCTGCACAGTTTTGGTTCTTATCGGGTGAAAAAAACTAGGACTAGTTCGCAAAAGTAGGCTTTTCGCTAGGGTCAAGATCGAATCCAAGATGTACAAGAAAATTGTTTGTCCTGAGCCAAGGATCCAACAAACACTCTTGACAAACGGTTTAGGAGCCATTACGTACTTTTGACCGCTATAGCGCCACCATCAGGCCGATTGGGGCGAGCTTTGGTGGCACTGGAGACGGTGTGAGTACTACCGTCCCTCAAAGTTTCAAGTCTCTACGATTTACGGTTTGGTCTCCCCGATCACTTTTAGGGGAGAATGCTGATGCTTGGGAACAATTACAACAGTGTTTCAGCGCCACACTTTTACGTCTACGAGTCAGTATCGAATCCTCTCATCCCTATTCGTTACAGCTTTAACAGTATCACGAGAGAAAGGGTAAAATATGTTACATTACTGAATACCCTAAAACACTCAACACCCCCCAAAGGACAAATATATCAAATTCTAAGGTTTATCTCAACCCTTTTTTCTTTTCTCGTCTATCCTAACCTCGTTTTTAAAAAAAAAAATGTATATGTGTTCTGTATGTATTTCTGCAATAAAAGAAAATTAGAGTATCCTACTTGATCAGCTCCTCCCAGCAGAGCAGGTACGGTTCCAGCAGCACGTCGGAGGCGGGGCCGAGGGCGGAGTTTAGATGCTGGAGGAGGCGGGACACTTGGAACTGCTGTCCAGCACACTCTGTGATGATGTCATTTCCTCCGAGCGCATCATCAGTAACAGCAGCCTGAACCACCTGGACAGGAAGTGAGCGTCAATCAGCACTAGTTAATGTCAAATAACAATATAGACTGTTTCATAGCAGCTTCACAGAGATAATATGAGATTACAGTAACAGAGATTATTTGGGCTTTACAGCAGCTCTAGAATAAAGTTATTGTCCAGATAAAGTGAAGTATTCAAGTTTAGTGTACTTTAGTCACTTCTCACCTCTCTGTTCACACTCAGACAAGGCCGCCACGACTGCTTACAACTCTGAACTGTTGCTTGAGCTGCAGAGAACCGGAAAACAACAGAACGCGGTTATTGAAGCTCGAGGGGGTTGTGTGTTTGTGTAGGGTGTGTGTGTGTGACGGTGAAAGGTTGTATGTACTCACGCAGCCACAGTGAGCTGAGAAACAGCAGCAGACTCAGCGTGACTGCGGTCACGACACACCGGCGCATTCTCATCGCTACAACGTCTCGTCCTCGTCGTCCGTGACTCCTTCGTCTCTCGCTCTAATGCTCCTAATGAACAGAGGAAGACTCAAATCAGCATGACCTTTGAACTGTTGTGCGTGTCACTGATTCAGGCTTGTGTAAAGAGCAGGGTTGAGCTGAACTATAAACACAACTGTGCTGGCATTTGAACTTAAGAAAATAGAATTACAACATGACATTCATATTAGCGTGGTAGTAGATTTAGTAATACATTTCATTTGTCAATATGAATTATCCATATACATATGGATTATTTCCAGAAACAAGGGTTATTAACATTAACCAAAACATTAAAAAAAAAACATTTTCATTACTTTAAATGAAATAAGCATTAACTGAAATATAATAAAATATTTTATTTCAGCTAGTTTTCAAGACAACGTTTCTAATTTTAGTTTAGTTTGACTTAAATTAGTACAAAGTAAATAAATTATATAAATAAATTATAAATTATAACAAAGTAAAACTGAAATAAAAATATAAATATTTAAAAAACAATAAAAACAGCAAAAACTGAAAATTACTAAAACCTTAACTAAACCAAAATGAAAATAATATATAATACATTTAGAATATTAATAATAAATTATATTATTTATAATAAATGTCAATAAATGATTATATTTTATCATATTTAATAAATAAACATTGTTTATTGTATAAACCATAGTGAAACGCTTGCTTCTCTTTCTAGAAAATTTACCAGAACTTAATTTTAATTTTAAATTGTAAATATTGATTGTTTTGACAGTATTGAACCATGTTAGGAGAATGTCTGATCTGAGAATAATTATTAATCAAAATGTATGAGGCAGTTTTGCATTTCACACTCATAAATTAAAACGAGACAAACACACACATCGCATTGAGCTTTTTATTTGATATATTACACACATTGCTTTGACATGAGATAAACACGCAGACAGAGTGATAAACTGGCTTTCATACTTGCACACAAACAAACATCACAGTGTTCACTGAACAACCAGAGCCGCTCATGATGACATCACCACAGTGGGAGGGGCTTAGCACTGACAGACAGCTCAGACAGCCAATGGCAGAGCAGCGTCCTGAGTTTTAGGGCAGTTTGGATTGACTCTCTGCCTCCTGACTCTGAAACACAATTTGAATATACATTTATAAATAATATGTTTAGATAATATAAATATAACAAGATTAAACAAACATATTTTGAAATTTGATGCAAGTCTTGATGCTTCACACTTCTAATGAAAAATCTGTTGTGTTTTATATGTAACATGTAGGAAATGTGTTTTGCATTATGTGTTTACACATTAGTTGGCACATGGCACTAGATATTATAGATATTATGATTTTAAATGAATTGATTGCTACTGTGTGTGTGTGTGTGTGTGTGTGTGTGTGTTGAGCTTATCCATATTTATTCATTTTCTCTCAGGATTGGCGTGACTCTGTATTAATAAACTTATGTCCCGTTCAGTGTGTGTGTGTGTGTGTGTGTGTGTCTGACCCGTCTTCCTCGTCCACGAAACACAATGTTCAGTCCCTTGTGCGCAGAGACGTGTTTGAGTGTGTGAGGTTGTTGCAGCTCTTTCAGTAACTCTGGGCTGCTCAAACTCACTGCAGGAGAAACACACACAGGTAATTGCATTCATACATCAAGTTGCATTGTGGGATACAGTATTTGTAAATTATTGCGCATTTTGTAGGTCATCTGAGTGTTTCATACGTTAAAATTATGACCAAAACAAAATAATGGCATAGTATGTTTCAATTTCGACCTCTTATGTCATGATTCAGATTTTTTAAATATATAATAATAATGTAAATATACGGTAACACTTTACAATACGGGTGCATTATGCATTAATTCATGCTTAACTAATACACAGATAATCATGAGTTAATGTATAACTAATGAAGAACTAAACCATTAATTAACAATTACTGGATCAGCAACTAATATCTAGTCTATATGATTAATAGATTAAGTAATACATGAATTGCTATTAATTCAATGTGTCATTGTGTATTAATTCCTTAATAACATATTTTATTAACTAATAGTGTAAATTAATGTGTTAATTATGCACTTCTATGCACTATGCACTTCAACTTCCAGTTGTATGCTTTAATTAATCATTAGCTAATGATTTGCAAAGGTATCATTATGTTATGACTTTACTTGTTGGGGCACATCATTATTAACTAGTCATTTAGTAATTGTAGTAATTTTCACATGAATTTGCGCTAACAATGAAGTAATTAATCATGTATTAATGCATATTAGTGTACCTGTCATATTATCTGGAAGTTAAAATACAAGGCTTTGGCTCATTCTGGTAATTAACATATTAATTAACACTATTGGTTAAAAAAATGAGTTATTATGTAATTAATCCACAATTGCATATTTAATTAAAAACAATGCATGTATGAACTAATACATTAACCTTACAGACTCTTAATTAGTTCCTAATGTGGTAATCATTAATGAATAGCTTAGATGATAATTACTTGCACAATAATTCAGTATTATCTGTGCATTAGTTAAGCATCAATTAATGCTTATTAGTGCACCCTTATTGTAAAGTGTTACCAAATATACATAGTAAAGATTAAATAGACTGTCATAAATGTCAAAAAATTAAGATTAAACAAAGCATCTTAAATAGGCTTCAATAGTTTCTCAGAAGCGGACGTTGTCATATTTGGGTAAATTGCTATATTGGTGAATGAGAAACTAATTTAAATATATTTTTTCATGTCCCCATTTGCTCAAATAGCAAAAGGAAAACTCCACAATAGTGTTTGAACAACTTTCGAAGAGAGGAAAAAATAGAGAGAGACTGATAACGGCACTCGAGAAAAATATGTCAATTTCACGGTCACCATCACTGTATTAGAAACACCCTCACACCAGCGTTAACATTTCTTGAAGCAAAGTCTTATAAATGTATATTAATAAAAAATAATAATCTAAATCTAAAAAACTGCAGGGTTTATGACGCTGATGACATCATCGCTCTATGAAAAATGTCCGTCGTATCAGATTCACTCTAACTTAAGTTTGTCCTTTTATGTCTGTTTATTTAGTTTATTCATTGTACCCCTGACTGAAATTATAATTCTTAAAATTCAATAAAAAAAAAATAATATAAATAAAAAAAAGTATCAGATTCACTCACGCGTCTGTTCAGCAGAAGTCGGCGGGGAGGGCGTGGCTTTGGTTGGAGTTGTGGGCGGAGTTACATGAACGGTCTGTAATAGAGAGAGGCAATCGGATGAAATCACTGGTGGTTATTTCATGTTTTATCATTAAGAGAGTTCCTCTTACCTTAGTTTCTGCCATCGCTGGTCAACCATGCGCTCACAATTCTGATCAAGTCAAGTTATAAGGACAAGACGACGTGTCCAAATGACGTGGGTAACGGTCAGCGGTTTCAGCATCAACTACCAAAGCACTTAAAGGTACTAAACAGTTATTTTAGTAGTTACTGTATTTGTATATCTAAATATGATCCGGTCGCTGTGAGAAACTTGTTTCTCTCGTCATTCACTGAGATTAGCCTGAAGTCTATATTCTGCAGCGACATTAATCATTTACTTACTTTATGGCTCTAAAGTCCACTGAAAACACCCTGAGAAAAAGAAAAAGTCCCCGTCTAAAATAAAAACACTATTCCCCTGTTTTGACACACGAGTCAGATTTGTTGAACTGTCTCTGCAAAACTCTACACACAAATCCCTTCATTTCTCATTGCCTACACCATGTTGTCATTTAGTACGGAGGCGTATTGCATTCACTTGAAGAAAAAAAAATCTACTGTTTTTCTGAATTAATGAGTTAATTTTTCATAAGAAATTTTTTTTTTCTGTTTTTCTGAATTAATGAGTTAATTTTTCATGAGAAATTTTTTTTTTGCTCTGTTTTTCTGAATTAACGAGTTAATTTTTCATGAGAATTTTTTTGCTCTGTTTTTCTGAGTTAATGAGTTAATTTTTCATGAGAAATTTTTTTTCTCTATTTTTCTGAATTAATGAGTTAATTTTTCATGAGAAAAATTTTTTTTGCTCTGTTTTTCTGAATTAACGAGTTAATTTTTCATGAGAATTTTTTTTGCTCTGTTTTTCTGAATTAACGAGTTAATTTTTCATGAGAAAAAAGTTTTTCTCTGTTTTTCTGAGTTAATGAGTTAATTTTTCATGAGAAAAAAGTTTTTCTCTGTTTTTCTGAGTTAATGAGTTAATTTTTCATGAGAAAAAAGTTTTTGCTCTGTTTTTCTGAATTAATGAGTTAATTTTTCGTGAGAAAAAAAGTTTTTGCTCTGTTTTTTCGGAATTAACTCGTTAATTCAGAAAAAACAGAGCAAAAAAAAAAAAATCCATGAAAAATTAACTCGTTAATTCAGAAAAACAGAGCAAAAAAAAAATCCATGAAAAATTAACTCGTTAATTCAGAAAAACAGAGCAAAACCTTTTTTTCTCATGAAAAATTAACTAATTAATTCAGAAAAACAGAGCAATTTTTTTTCTCATGAAAAATTAACTCGTTAATTCAGAAAAACAGAGTAGATTTTTTTTCTTCAAGTGAATGCAATACGCCTCCGTAATTTAGAAAGCACTAGACTAGCATTTAATATTGTTCACTCTAGTCAGCGCAGCTTTAGCTCAGTTAGCACACAATTAGTGGAAATCACAGACCAATCAGAACAAGGGCCAGGGTCGGTTCATTCAGTTTTCAAACAATGGATCCAGAAAGACATGAAGGAAGAGGTCGAGGAAGAGGAGAGGAAGAAGAAACGGATGAGGAGGTGGATGAAGGGCAAGGAGACAAGTCTCAGATTAAATTTGTGCCACTCTGCCCATGTCTTATGACTATGAGGGAGTCTTGGCTACGAGGAAGGCCAAATTTGAGTCGCTTCGATCATGAAAACCTTCTTGGAGAAACCCAGGTAGATGTAGGCTACTAAAGACTGCTCTCTAGTGTATTTTTGAGAGCTGTATGTACACATGTAGCTGTTGCACTATCAACTGTAATAAAAAGAAAAAGGTTTTCTGAATGCTTCCATTTTGTAAAAAGGATGTTACAGTTACAGTAATCAGTATTTCTATTTTTCTAGGACACAGAGACGATGAAATGGAAGAAGCCCACTGATCATGAAAAAACAAGACACAAAACCCACATTCTTGACAGGCGGAATCTTTGTGTGTGTGTGTTTGTGTACGTACTGCGTTGTAGATCAGCGATTCCCAAACTGTGGTCCGCGGACCACTAGTGGTCTGTGAGGGTACTGCAGGTGGTCCGTGAAAAGGCAAAATAAAATATTTTACCAATAAATTCCCATTAAAAAAGTAAAAAGAATACATAAGGCCTATATTTATATAAAATGTAAATTAAATTGTCAAGCTATTGTGTGATTACTAAAATAGGCTAGTGACGCTCGGCCGTGACGTTCAAGCTCCATGTCGTCAGAACCACAACACCGGATCGGTGGATATAGCAACAGGTTAGGTGAGCATTTATTTAGTTGTTTGTTTTTAATATTGGTCTATATTAGACAGAGGGTGACAAAGGAGGATATTACGTTCATATCGGGCTGGCAAATAGACTCCAATAGCTTTTCCGTTTGACAACTTTATTTTAAACCTGGAATAACGTTAGGCCAACTGTGTTTTATTTTAAATGCGTAACGTTATAGGGCAGAGGCAAATATGTTCTCAAGTCTACTTTTTGAGGACTTGTAGAACTCTCAAGATTAACATTAATAATCCCCTAAATAATCGCTAAAGGTTTTGAAATGCTGACTATATCCAAGTGTTCTTATTGCTGTATAGATTTTATACTCCATTGCTATGGAAATAAGCCTGTTGTTCAAATGAACCTGATTATAATATGTAATAAATAATATAATATGTAATATCATAATATGTGTATTATGAGGTGGTCCGTGAAAAATCTTGATTACAAATAGTGGTCCACACACACAAAAAGTTTGAAAACCCCTGTTGTAGATGAATGAATAAAAATGTTACCAGTTTTGGAAATGTTGTTTTGAATTCATTGCACCAGTGTGTAATACTTTGAATTGTGTGTGTTTGTGAGGGCTTGTGTGTGATGTCTGATTGCAAAGCCTGTTTTTTCAGCAAGAGTGAATGGTTTTAAGTGTCAGGTTTCATTTTGACCTGAAAATAGGGGGAACTAGGTGAGACGTTATGGATTTCTCTTTACTATTTTGATCATACGAGGCACAGTTTCAAATAAGAAATTGATAAAAACTGTAAACTACTAAATAGAGTACATTGGCGCCACCTATCGGCAGTATATGGACCAGAAAACACCGTTATCTCTTCAGGTATCAGGGCTTTCAGTCATCGTTTTCAGCTCCTCCAGGATCCACACTGAGCCTCACACACCGCCCAGAGCAAAAGAACTGCACACTACACTGTAAGTAGGGCTGGGCGATATATCACGCGATATTGTTATGCACATCTAATCAGTAAAGCCGGTTCCTTGATTAGTAGTAAATCACCTTCACCTGCTTTCAGATGGACGATATGAGTGTTAAATTAACACTCAAGAGTGTTAAAGTTAATGCGATAATTAAGTGATTAATTGAGTGATGATTGAGCATTATTGAAGACACATAAAGCAGAATCACAAGGAGAAAATCTAAAATTGTAAGCCAATGTTATGGCGATCCGTGTTTGCTTTAGTGTTGGGCTCTTGACACTTAAACTTACATTTTTAAACTTTTTCTGCTGTTATTGATTTATAACAGTCAAATAAACAAATAAAACTGTGATTTGATAGTGTTGGTTATGTTTGACATAATCATACTGTGATATGAAAAATTTAACTTATTCAGAGGTTTTGGTTTAACTTGTTAGCAACAGTTTGGTGATTCTACAGCATATGATAATCCATATTTTTCTTATAATCCAAAACATTTAATAAAAATTGTTCTGATCAAATCACTTTCATTTCTATTTAGAAACACAGACATCAATAATTAGCCTGTTTATCTCAACCATGGTGACAATAATAATCATTGTTGCCACCAATCACAACTCATTAATGGCTCCCATCATGCATTGCGGTATGAATAAATTATGATCTGAATTGTCTATATTTACTTTTCCTAATTGAATATTCTGCTTGTCACCATTCTTGAGAAGCATTGACTGAATCTTGAGGTCTGTGTGCCTAAAAGAAAGATTTTTTTAAACAACTTTTTTTTAAACAACAATCTCAAATTCTGGGTATTCATGCAGAATCTCAGTTATGCTGTAACCAACAGAATAAATCGCAAATACAAATTTCAAATGATGAATGTCATAATATAACCAAAACCATTAGATCATATTTTTTCTTTGTTCGTCTGGCAGGTATAACTCTGATTAAAATTGCCGATTAAAATACAAACGTTTCTGCAGATTTAGGCATGTTTGGCTTGCCATATTGACACCAATATGCACCGATATGTAATAGGCTATATAATCCCAATTTTATCGTTCTAACCCGACGTGACGTTGGGAGTAACCGACTGAAAGGGAACACAGAAAATTTCACTATAAAACATGTTTAACGTGTTGTTTCTATCAAGCTGCAATTGTGTAAACTGTGATACATAAATATGATAAAATAAGAATATAAAGTGACATTCTAAAACGTTCCTACTCTATTACAGTCTCAGCAGAACTCTTCCTTATTCATGATTATGGGCGGAGCTGTAGCATCACTGCAAGTGTGTAAAGACTTCAGTGAAAGTGAAGCCAAACAGATGAACAGGAAGCTTCATCAAACATCATTTAATTTCAGAAACTCCGAAATCAATGACCAGATCTGATCTTCACTCACAGGTAAGTGATGGAAATGTAAGAGCTACACTGTAAAAAAAAATATTTTCATTATTTGTAATTACAAAATTTTTTCTTTTGTCAAATCAACTTAAATAATTTATATAGTTCAGATAATATAATATTTTGAGTTTCTGGCGATTAAATCAATATCCTTCATTGTATTAACTATTTTTTTTATTTCAATGCCTGGCAGCCAGGTTACTTAATTTTTTAAGTTAAAACCAACAATATTTTTTTACAGTGTAGTTCAGTAGATTCATCAGATTGTTGGTAAAAGTACTCGATTACCTTTTTTTTTTTTGGGATGTAAATCAAAGTTTGTTTATTCGTGGTCATGTCACACTCAAGTGACTTTAGAAACAGGAAGTACTTGAATAGGCTATATGCACAACTTACTTCCGTATTCTGTAAAACAGGTCGCATCGCTTGCGGTCCAGGTCTTTTGTATGTGCTTCATGATTTTTTTGCGGTTTTACCCAAGATAACTTAAAAGGAGCGAGCAAAGATTTGCATAACCAATGTCCCTCACATGTGCAGATTGATATTTAAAAGTTTTATATTTTTTATTCTTCACAGTAACGTTTAGATATTTAAATGGAATAAAACGCCAATAACAGAGTGAACTAGTTAGGTTAGCTGATTACCTTAAAAATCCATAGATATCGTAGTCAGTTCTTACGGCCGTTAACACTTTCTCTGACAAGCGGATGCATTGAGACCTGTTTTCCGGTTTGGTCACGTGACGCTCGACATAAAGCCTATTGGTGGCAGAATGAGAAGAACAGTAAAAGTTCTAGTAAATGTTGCATGTTAACCCTCTACAACACAGAGTTTAAAGTTTTCTTAAGCCCTATGTTCAGTCCTGTGTGTTTCTGTAAAATATTTCAACTAATTAGAATGGTGAAAAACATAATCAAACAACAGTCTAGTAATAATAAGGTGTGGTAGTCGAGCACCGTTTAAAAGCGGGGATTTCCTTTTCTGACACATATAGTCACCGGAGCACATGGTGTGAGAAGAAAGTAAGATTATTTGCATTAGTAATCTTATTTAAAATGACATGAACTGTACATAAAAAAGCGTTTGTGTAAATGAAGGTGTAGAGAAGGTTTTTCCTTGGCGTCGTCGTGTGTTAAGAGGTACTTTCCAAGGATGTCTTTGCTAAAAATGTGTTTGGACATTATCACGTATTAGTGGACAATATCAAATCTTAATATCACCTTCTATATATGTAGCATAGGGTTCTTTACTCAACTCCAAAGGACATTTTATGCTAAAAAAGGTTCAATAACGACAAGAAAGAACACTTTTGGCACAAAGGTTCTTTAAAGGCTATCATTCATTCATATATTACATTATGTAGTTGTAATTAAATTATTGTTTATTAAACTGTTGTAGTAACTTAATATCATGCAGATTTTTGGAGGATAAAAACTGAAATGTCACTCTTCATGTGGTATTCATTAATTACATTTTTTAACCACCATATCTTGAATAATGTGATCATTCACACTCATTGCATTTTAGGGGTTCCAAATACGTAGCGCTTTAGAACCTTTTAAGGTTCTATATGGAACCTTTTCTTCTAAGAGTGCAGTTAGTAGATTTCTGATACATTTTGCACTGCTCTATGACCATTTTCTTGTAATATTTAAATTTATCATTAGGCAACAAAATATTTTATCAATAAAATCTTCTCAAATGAACCAAGAAATGATGTGGAACACATTTTTTTTTTTATCATGTACCATCACAATGTGTGCAGTAGAGGGTAACAAAACTGACACGTGGGATTTACCGAAGATTATTTAGTGGGTTTTTTGTTTGATAAAAATACACTTTCAGCCCTTTCTGTGTTGTCTTTTATTGTACTGTGGGTCCCAGTGACACATTTAGTTTCTGTATTTAGATGATTTTTCTGCAGCCCAATAGATCGAACTCCATTGATCTGAAGCACATGGTCTCAGACTGGCAGTTAGAGGCGGAGCTTATAGGCTCAGTGAGGTTAGAGTTAGTGATGGAGGGACTTCCTGTCAGAAACTGCTGTCTCATATACTCACGCATGGCGGGTTTGTGGTTCATAGACTTGAGTTATTATAATTTTTAACCATGCAACATAGATTTTAGAACACAAAATAATTTACTCAGTGCACATTACTTATGATGTATGAAAGTTGCTCTCTTCAGCAATGTAGATGATATATTGTCGTGATTACTTATCTTTCAGCCATGGCATCCTCCAGCAGTCCAGCACTTGATAAGGAGCTCCAGTGCCCCATCTGTATGCAAGCGTTCACTGATCCAGTCACCACTCCATGTGGACACAACTTCTGCAGAACCTGCCTGAGCAAGTGCTGGCCGAACTCAAGGACCTGCTCCTGTCCACTCTGTAACGGAAAATTCAGCAAAAGACCTAAACTCAGTATTAATACAACACTCAGAGATGTTGCGCAACACTTTAAGGAGAAGCCCAATCTAGGAGGATCTGAGGTGTTCTGCGACTTCTGTGATGAAAGAAAGCAGAAAGCAGTGAAGACCTGCCTGACGTGTCAAAGCTCTTACTGTGAGACTCATCTGAAGCCTCATCTCAGTGTCCCATGTCTGAAAAAACATAAACTCATCAACCCTGTGGGAAATCTGGAGGATTATATTTGCCAGAAACACAAGAGACCTCTGGGGCGGTTCTGTAGAGATGATCAGACGTGTGTTTGTCTGTCCTGCACTGAAAGAGAACACAGGGGACACAACACTGTTCCTGTAGAGGAGGAGAGTCGAGAGAAGAAGGTAAAGAGATACGAACAAAACACTTTAAACACCACATGAAATCCAGTTCCCTATCACTCTAAAAAATGCTGGGTTGTTTTAACCCAATTTTTGGGTCAAATATGGACAAAACCAACTGTTGGATTAAAAAATGCAATTTTTTGATTGACTGATTGATTTACTTTATTAATCCCCAGGGGGGAAATTTATATGTCACAGCAGCACATAAATACAATAAAAATAATATAAAAACACACCAACAACAGGTCTTGTACTCAAATATCAATTTTTCAAAGCATTATGACCATGATTATATATATGACCATCATCTGCATCATCTTAAATAGCACTGATTGTAATTAGATTTTCTAAAACGCTCTTTGTAACAGCGTGGATGAATTAATCTTGAGCTGTGGGTACTCGCATAAGCTTGAGATATTTCATTAAGAGGATGATGGTCATGATTAATCATAAGAGAAAGCTTTCCAATCATTCTATAATCCTGCATTATCTCGTCTACAGTGGCGGGTAACACACTCCCCACGACAGAGCCTGCCTTCTTTAGAAGTTTGTTTAACTTCTTCTCCTTTTCCAACAATCCCCATGTAATGGAGTACAAAATAACAGATAACCCAACAGCTGGGTTAAATTTGACCCAAAATTGGGTCAAAATAACCCAGCATTTGGGTTAGCAGAGCAGATGTTTCGGAGCAGAGCAGATGTTGTTTCATTCTGCTCTTCAATCATCTTTCAGTGAGTGAGTTGTTTCTTTGTTGGTGTGACTCTCCTGACGGGTGAATCCCTGTGGTCCCATGGGTGACCCAGCATCTCATTCAGAGGACCGGATGTCGAGTGGAATCATCCAACCGTGTCCCACAGCTGGATGACTGGGAACGTCCAACATGACTGACTGATAGGGAACATCTAGGTTACTAACGCCTGTACCCCCGCTGAAACGGCCGAGACCCCGTATCAGTTCCTCAATAGAAAGCTTAATGTCAGAGTTCAAACTCTGCATTATATACCCGGAAGCGGGGAGTGGATTGCAATGCAACTCTCACATTGGCTTGGTCATTTATCACTCAAAGGTGATTAGGCTATAATGTGAGATCGCATTCAGTCCAAACGTAACTTCTCCGTTCCCTCCTTCAGGGAATGGGGGTTACATTAGTAACCATTTTCTTTACCTGCGTCTTGACATGTTTAAGAACCTGTCTCTCTTTTTTTAAATAGTTAAAAGATTAAAAAAAGATTCAAACTGTAATTCTGAATTAATTTGATCCTCACAGTAAAATAAAAGACTGTAAGAAGATGGAAAGCTATATTTAGTGATAAATGTGTCTGTTTTTCTCTGTATGTAGAATCAGCTGGTTCAGACACAGACAGACATTCATCAGATGATCCAGGACAGAGAGAAGAAGATTCAAGAGATCCAGAACTCTGTAGAGCTGAGAAAGGTTTGTGCTTCGATCAACCCGAGTTTATATCCTGACTCATGGTCGTTTTCGATCCTTTTCACTTTCACTTTCTGTTCACTCTCTTAAAGGAGTAGTTCACTTTTGAAAAAACTTTTGCTGATAATTTACTCACTCCCATGTCATCCAAGATGTCCATGTCTTTCTTTCCTCAGTCGAAAAGAAATTAAGGTTTTTGATGAAAACATTCCAGGATTTTTCTCCATATAATGGACTTACATGGGAACCAAACGGTCCAAGGTCGAAAAGACAGTTAATAACAGTTTCAGATGCAGCTTCAAATGTCTTTAAACGACACCAGACGATGAATAAGGGTCTTATCATGTGAAACGAGCGGTGATTTCAAAACTTATTCCAAAAATGTAACTTTTCTAAGGACAAATGCTAGCCTTGCTCTATTCTATGAGGCACGTTTGTAACGTCACGTAATACGTAATTACGTTCAAAAGGTCACGAGCGACGTAGCCGGAAGTACAGAATCAAAATCGTCCGACATTGTTGTTTTACCTTTTAATTCCTTTTTTGTAAACGGCGTTTGAGTTAGTTTGCACGTTCAACCTATGCGTTCAACTTGTAAACATTGACTCTGTACTTTTGAACGTAATTACGTATTACGTGACGTTACAAACGTGCCTCACAGAATAGAGCAAGGCTAGCATTTGTCCTTAGAAAAGTTACATTTTTGGAATAAGTTTTGAAATAACCGATCGTTTCGCATGATAAGACCCTTATTCATCGTCTGGAGTCGTTTAAAGACATTTAAACAGTTTGCACTGAAACTGTCTTTTGGACCTTGGACCGTCTGGTTCCCATTGAAGTAAATTATCAGCAAAAGTTTTTTCAAAAGTGAACTACTCCTTCAACTATTCTAGCAAAAAACATTAAATGCATTAAATCATAATAGTTCAATCTATTTAATAAAAGGCGCTAAATTAATTTGTTAGTTCTGCCATCATCTAGTAACCCTAGATGAATCTAGTAATGATTTTTTTCCCATAGAGCACATATCTGTTGTATGGAGTTATATAGGAGTGCTTCAACAGCTGGTCCTCAAACATTATTTTGTGTTCCACTGAAAATCACACATTTTAAGTGACATAAGGTTAATTAAAGATGATAGATTTTTCATTTTGGGGTCAACTATCCCTAAATAAATAATATGTGAATATGAAATACAACCAGAACTGTTCTCGTTCATCAGAGAAACACAGAGGAAGAGAAATCCTCCAGGGTTGAGATCTTCACTGACCTGATCCGCTCCATTGAGAGATGTCAGTCTGATCTGCTGAAGATGATGGAGGAACAGCAGAAAGCAGCAGAGAAACAGGCTGAAGATCTCATTAAAGAGATAAATCAGGAAATCACTGATCTGAAGAGGAGAAACACTGAGCTGGAGCAGCTCTCACACGCTGACGATCATCTCCATCTCATACAGGTCTGGCAACATCTCAGTCAATATGCACAATATTACAGGACACACACTCTGTTCTTTGAGGTCCACCAAATTGACCCTACATCTGTGTGTTCTGTAATTTCAGTACGTGCAGTGCATTTTTGTCTTGACCCCTATAGAGAATGACACCATTATCAAAACGATCCCCAATCACATGGATTGCGAAAACGACTAAAAACCCTGTATCCTGCTGCCAGGCCAGTAGATGGCGATGAAACACTATAGACTGAACACGTAATACGCATGTGCATGACATCATCGTCTTCAGAGATTGCTTTTTTAAAAACGTGTACTTTGAATTCCATTTTCAAACGTTTGCATTTTCAGGAACCCAAAACGCTGTCGTCGTGTAAATGAACGGGCAAAACACAATTTTTTAAAACATTTTTAGCTAAAAACGGTGTCATGTAAACAGACCCTGAGTTCAGTTTAGTCTTAATTGCATCCTATTTCCATTTCGTATTCACTCCCAAGTTACGTCTAATGACGACGAAATGGGGGTTTCGCCTAGAAGCCTATCACCTTTGAGTATTAAAAAACGAGCCAATAGAGCATCACAGTCCCGCCCACAGCCCGAGAGAGCGTTGGTGCCGGAAGTAAATTTCCCATTCATTTCTCCCATTGACATTTTGTAAAATCCATATCTAAAGAGTATTAGAGCATGTCTGAGGATAACCATCTACGGCTGAACTCATAAGCATACAACATATCATTTCGAGTGACAAAACGAAGAGAAAATCCAAAAAAAGTCAAGGGTACAAGCCTGAGTACATATTTTCATTTCCGAGCAAAGAAACTACTTCTCCCATAAACCACCGCGCCTCACTGAAGTCGACTCAAGCCACCGTGAAAGAGCCTTTTGAGTGACTCCCAAATCTGACGACGAACATGTAAACTTTTTCCTCCAGTGAATTTTATATAGTGAATGTGCAGGGAAACTCCTTTTCCTCCATTTACTGAAGCTTATGCACATGCTAAAACATTGAGCATCTGGCTCGCTCATAGGCTAAGCTGTGGCTACAGTACATCCAATGGCGCGGGGTCGTGACTGAGGTGTGACCAATGAACTTAGCCCTACGTCATTACGCGATCTTCAGTCTTCAAGCGCCTTCGCGGGGTTTCAGACACGTGACACGACTTCCACCAATCAGATGCATCACTGTGGGATTGTTCAGGATTGTGGGTAATGATGAAGTACTTATTCAATACATCGTGACTAAAAGGGGTTTATCGGAAAACAAGGTTAGTGCCCCGTGATCTTTTGGCATTTATATGAGCATATACAATCGCTTAGTACAGCCGTAGCTGGTTTTAAGTCTACCATGTATGGTTACGTTTTTATGGCTTATATCCCAAATGTCAATGGAGAAATTGTATTGAATTTTTACTTCCGGCACTGGCTGTGGGTAATATAAGCAATTCATGTAATCAGTCAACTAGAGGAAGTACGGTGATATCCATCCGTATCCATACAGAGGTTTAGCCTCAACTGTGTTAGAAAGCTCCTGTGTAAAACATATTGTGTTAAGAAGTTTTGTCCCTCATCTACAAGGTGCTAAGCATGTGCCACACCCCCTCTTAGCCTATTAATCTGCATATTAACTCTAGCTCCAATCACCTGACTTCTTAACCAATCAGGACTCTATATCTGGCTTTATTAACTGCACCTGTGACCACAGCATCTAACTTTGTAGCACATGGATGTACTGTGCAGAGGACTGAGTTTTTCTCCTTTGTGCTTTTCCTGCGTGTGCGTAATTGACTATGTAAGTGCCTTTTGTTTTATGCTTGGTATCATTTTGTATTCCTTAAATTTATCTTTAAAGGTGTTTATTCTTATGCTTGTTTAATTTCCTGTTTAGGCATGGTCTTAGTTATTTAGATAACTCATATATTGTTTATTGTAACAAATGGTGTATTCCTATGTTCCTTTGTAGACACCACACGCACACAAAGGCAAATAAAGAATTGATTGATACCTGAGTGACTAGACTGGACCTGTTCTTACCGACAGCCCCATTGGCTTCAAGCTAGCTACCTTGTTATCCCCCCACTCCTTTTCATGGTCCTTCGAGCCGGAGCCCATTGATGATCGGTGGATATGTCTAGTCACTCCCTGCCCTCATTGTCTCAGTCTGAACGCCCACGCCGCCAAGCCCGGCTCCCCGCACGGTATGATGATTTCATCCTGCAATATCATCAGCCAGCACAACCTACAGCAGAACCACCAGAGCAACAACTGCTTCGTCCTGCATATAGTTCTGGTACTGGTCCTCATTATCAACCTTGGAAAGCGGACGAGTCAGAGGAAGAGCCAGAGGAGTTGGAATTGCCCATGGAGGGAGAGGACGACATTCAGGAGAATATTCCACACCCTGGCTCACCTGTCCTAGCTGAGAGAATGCAAACCCCTGATGTTGAACACCTATCTGCCTCTCCTATAGCTCCCATGCCTGATACTCAGACTGCACTCCTACAGCAAGTGGTAGAAGAGTTGAGAAATCAGGGTAGATTAATCCAGCAGTACATGCTTAGGAGCAGCACCCACTCCTCACGGTCTCACTTGCTATCCCCTTGCCCTGATGATCTGAACCTTCAAGCACCTCAATCACCACAAGCCCATCAGACTATGGAGGAGCATAGGCCCCCTCCTATTCCACTTCAGTCACCACTTCCATCACCTCCTCCTGTAAGCCATGCCCCTCTTATCCAGCCTATACCACAGTCCTTGCAGAGCATGCATCCTGGCTGTGGTCTGTTTCCTGCCAGATACCAAGTTCCAGCCTCATGTAACCCCATGCAACCAGCCTATACACTGCCAAGTCAACCTTTGCCTTCTGTTTTGTCCCATTCTGCCCAGCCGGCATACCAGCCTCTTAATATGCAACCACACCACCTGACATCGGTTTCCCCTCTAAACCAGCTAGTTCCTCCTGTTGGCCTCCAGCAGTTCCACCATAGGAAGATAGAAGGCCCTTCTTTCCCTGATTTCACAAGAGAGGACGAATGCCAATACATGATGTTAAAGATGGCCCTATCCAACTTGTTAGATCCAAGAGAATCGGAGCAATATAAATATCACATCCTGTTGGATCATCTGAAGGTAGATCAGGCGAGGAGACTTGCTTTGGCTTATGCTTATGCTCCAGATCCTTACACTCAAGCTGTACGAGCACTAGATGAGCGTTATGGTCAACCTAGACAACTTGCTCTGAAGGAGCTCCGAACCATAATGGAGATCCCTGTTATTCGTACAGGTGATGGTAGAGGCTTAGACCAGTTTTCCCTCAGAGTGCAGGCATTAGTGGGCCTCCTTCAGTCCATGGGCCCTGAAGGTCTCTCTGAGCTTACCTGTGGCTCACATGTTGAACGACTGCTAGAGAAGCTTCCCCATGAACAGTTCTGTCGGTTTAAGAGATGTATGAGTTTGAGTAAACCGGGTCCCCTTTCCTATAACCTCCTTGATTTTTCCAACTGGCTACAACAAGAAGCCCGCTGCCAGCCCAGGAGAGAAAGATCATCTCAGCCTATCGGTCAGCCTATCCGGCAGAGGCCTCCACCTCCTCACCCATTAAGGGGTACAACCATACTTCATGGTATTAAAACATCCTCTCATATGAATTCCTCCAGAGTACAAGTTCCCTCACCTCAAGTTGTTCAGCCTCATCCTAACAGCATACCTGAATGCTATCCAGTATGCGCTTACTGTGATTCTACTGAACATCATGTCAGTAAATGTGGTGGTTTCCTCCAGCTTACCAGAGACCAGAGAACTAACTGGATCAAGGAACAGAGGCGTTGTTGGCGATGTTTACGAGATCACTTTGCAACCCAATGTGACCTGAAGGGACACTGCAGCCAGTGTAACGGGAAACATCTACACATCCTATGCAACATTAACCAGAGGCAAGTGCAGAATCTATATCTTGACCACCCTAGTGACTGCAATAAAGTACTACTGAAGGTAGTTGAAGTGACCTTGCACAATGGCAACAGATCCTTAGACACTTATGCCATACTGGATGATGGGTCCGAAAGAACAATCCTCCTTCACCCTGCTGCCCAAACACTTCAGTTAAAGGGAAAATCTGAGAATCTAAAGCTGAGAACTGTGAGACAGGATGTCCAGACTCTTAATGGAGCTTCTGTATCCTTCACCCTTATTCCTAAGGCCCATCCTAAGAAGTCTTATGTCATTAATCAAGCCTTCACTGCTGACCAGCTATCCTTGTCAGAACATTCTCACCCAGTGAAAATCCTCCAGCGGCGCTACTCACACCTCCGTCAGCTCCCTCTCAAACAATTTAATAAAGTAAGACCCCTTCTTCTTCTAGGGGCTGATCACACACATCTTATCATACCAACACAACCTGTCAAGCTAGGCCCTCCTGGAAGCCCTGTAGCGATCAAGACCCGGCTCGGCTGGACACTGCAAGGCCCTGCAAGAGATCTCTCTAGCTTTTCTTCTACTTGTTCTCACTACATCTCCTTTAAATGCCCACCTGATGACATCCACCATAATGTCCAGAAGCTGTGGCAGATTGATGCATTACCTCAGAGAAGCATTAAAGATGTGGTTCGTTCCAAACAGGATCAAGAAGCAATGCACCAGCTTGAGACCCAAACCATCAGAATACCTATTGATGGCACCCAACGATATGCAGCACCTCTACTCCGTGTAGACCCCTGGCCCCCTCTGAAGGCCCCCAGGAAGGCAGTAATGTCCCGTCTCCGTAGCTGTGAAAGGCGACTCCTTCAGAACCCACAACAGGCAGAGACTTATACCAAGGAGATCCAGAAATTGGTCAATGCTGGGTATGTCAAGAGGTTGTCATCCTCTGAAATAGAAGATGCCCCTGAGTCCTGGTTCATACCCCACCACATTGTGCAACACAATGGTAAAGATCGCATTGTGTTTGATTGTTCCTTTTCCTACCAAAATCAGAGTCTGAATTCACAGTTACTTCCTGGACCAATCCTTGGGCCTTCACTCCTTGGCGTTCTACTCCGTTTTAGGCAGCACAAGACTGCTATCAGTGGAGACATTAAATCAATGTTCCACCAGGTGCATCTATTACCCCAGGATAAACCTCTCCTGCGATTCCTCTGGCGTGACCTGGACTGTGAAGCTCCTCCAACAGTGTATGAATGGCAAGTTCTCCCCTTCGGCACGACCTCAAGCCCTTGCTGTGCCATTTACATTCTCCAGAGGATCATCAAAGATGCTCAGGCAGACAAGTGTATTCAGCATTCTGTACACAGTAACTTCTACGTGGACAACTGTTTACAGAGTTTCACGACCCCAGAGGAAGCCAGAGATCTCCTTTATGGCCTGCGCTCTACCCTCTCCTCTGGTGGTTTTGAAATCAGACAATGGGCTAGTAATGATCCTCAGGTCATCTCTGACCTACCACCTGAAGCTAGGTCAGAACAAACGGAGCTCTGGTTATCACACCATCCTTTCCTTGATCCCTCAGAGTCTACACTAGGCCTCCTCTGGAACTGCCATACAGATACCCTTAGATACAGGCATAGAGTCATTGAACCTACCATGCCAACTATGCGCCATATCTACAGAGTTCTTGCTAGCCAGTACGATCCCCTTGGCTATATCCTCCCTTACACAACAAGGGCCAAAATCATTGTTCAGCACTTATGGGGAAAGGCACGAGAATGGGATGACCCAAATCTCCCTCGTGATCTCCTGGAAGCCTGGGTTTCCTGGGAAAATGAACTCTCTAACCTCTCCACTATCACTCTGCCTCGCTGCCTCACCCCTCCTTCAGTAGATACCTACTTAGCCAGTCAGGAACTTCACATCTTCTGTGATGCATCAGAGAGGTCCTATGGTGCAGTTGCCTACATCCGCACAGAAGATGGTAAGCAACAAGGGTATGTGTCCTTCCTCATGGCGAGGTCCCGTGTCGCTCCCAAAAAACAACTATCCATTCCGAGACTTGAATTATGTGCTGCTCTTACAGGGGCCCAGCTATTTGATCTCCTCCAAACAGAGCTCACCTTCCATATCAGAAGGACCGTTCTATGGACTGACTCTACCACTGTACTCCATTGGCTCAAGTCTGACTCTTGCCGTTACAAAGTTTTCGTTGGAACCAGGGTAGCTGAGATTCAGGAGCTCACTAAAGGCCAGGAGTGGTGTTATGTGGATTCTCAGAACAACCCAGCAGACGACCTAACTAGAGGAAAGCAACTTGCTGAACTTAGCAGGCCCTGTAGGTGGAACCAAGGACCTGCCTTTCTTTTTCACTCCTTTGAACTGTGGCCCACTAGCCCTGCAATAGATCCATCTGATGATGCCGAAGAGCGGCATAAGCCCAGCTTCTGTGGTACTGTATCCCTCAGTCCATACCCCTCCATCCCTGACCCCAGTCAATTTGCCACCCTCCAAGATCTCCTTGACTGCATGGCTGCATCCATTCATGGGGCGGCAAAGCCCCCATCAGCCGAAAACTACCATGAGGCAGAAACCGCCATGCTGAGACAAGCCCAGGTGGATTCCTTCAGGGATGATTTAGCCTGCCTTGAAAACCAAAGGCCCCTTCTCTCTTCAAGTCGTTTACTCTCCCTTGCCCCAGAATTAGATCCAGCATCAGGGCTCATTCGAGTAGGCGGGAGGTTACGGCAAAGTAGTGATCTACCCCCTGACGCCGTTCATCCAGTAGTCCTGGATCCTGCCCATCCAATTACAACGCTTATAATTAAGGATTGTGATGACCACTTACAACATCCTGGGCCAGAAAGGCTTTTTGCAGAGTTAAGGAGGCGGTATTGGATCCTGAGGGGTCGTGAGGCAGTCAGAAAATATCAGCATAGGTGCCCAAAATGCCAGCAATTCCGAGCACATCCCATTATTCCCCGAATGGCAGATCTTCCTCCCGCTCGCCTTCGCCTGCACGAACCTCCATTTTATTCTACTGGGATGGATTGTTTTGGGCCCTATACAGTCAAGATTCGCCGACGAGCTGAGAAAAGGTGGGGAATAATTTTCAAATGTCTGACGACTAAGTGCGTGCATCTTGATCTACTCAGTCACATGAATACAGATTCTTTCTTGATGGCGCTCAGGCGTTTTATTGCCCGCAGAGGTAAACCATTTGAGCTGCTCTCTGACAGAGGTACCAACTTCGTTGGAGGCAAGGGAGAGCTACTGGATGCCTATCAATCCCTAACCCCTGACCTTCAGGAAACCCTGGCCAAGCAGAGGATTTCCTTCAAATTTAATCCTCCACACGCACCTCACTTTGGTGGAAGCTGGGAGCGTGAAATACGCTCCATCAAAATTGCTCTGGAGACTACCTTAGGTGCTCAAATTGTCAGCGAGGAGGTACTACGCACAGTCATGGTTGAAATTGAAGGCATCTTAAATTCCAAGCCCATAGGCTATGTGTCATCTGACATTGCTGACCCTGACCCTGTGACCCCTAACTTGCTTCTTATGGGGCGGCATGATGCTTCCCTTCCTTTGGTTACATATCCAGACTCTGAGCTACATAGTCGCCGTCAATGGCGTCACAGTCAGATCCTTTCTGATCATTTTTGGGCCCATTTCCTTAAAAATTATCTTCCCTCTCTTCAGTCCAGACAGAAGTGGCGCACAGACCATCCTAACCTACAACCTAATACAGTTGTACTGATTCTAGATCCTCAACTTCCCAGATCCCAATGGTCAGTGGGTAAGGTCATCGCCCTCCATCCTAGCAAGGATGGTCGTTGTAGGGTTGCTGATGTACAAGTCAAGGACAGGACATATACGAGGCCCGTTGCTCGCCTCATCCCTCTTCCAGCCCTACCTGATATACCACCCTGACTGATCAAATTTGCTATACAAATTTGGGGGCGGCTGTTAAGAAGTTTTGTCCCTCATCTACAAGGTGCTAAGCATGTGCCACACCCCCTCTTAGCCTATTAATCTGCATATTAACTCTAGCTCCAATCACCTGACTTCTTAACCAATCAGGACTCTATATCTGGCTTTATGGGCTATATGCACGCATAAGTTCCGCATTTGACGTAAGGATGCTCGTCCATTTCCGGTTGTGTAGATTAAAGCGGAGGAAAACCGGAGAAAACGGGATTATGGCAGAGTCTTCAATATTTACTGTCCTCCCGTCTTTGAAACGAAACGTACATACGTTTAGATGTAATGTTATATATAGTTATGTTTATTTAATATAATTTTAAAAAGAAGCATAAACACAACGAGGGGTGTCTGTTTTATCTGTTTTTGTGACTAACGTTTCATTAGTATAACCATGGAGTATAAAATTCAATATAAATTCTCGGTATTGCATTGGACTCTACGATCGGCGGAAGTTATCGAGCATCCTTAATCCTTCACCGGAAATAACGCCGTGCATAGAGCCCATTAACTGCACCTGTGACCACAGCATCTAACTTTGTAGCACATGGATGTACTGTGCAGAGGACTGAGTTTTTCTCCTTTGTGCTTTTCCTGCGTGTGCGTAATTGACTATGTAAGTGCCTTTTGTTTTATGCTTGGTATCATTTTGTATTCCTTAAATTTATCTTTAAAGGTGTTTATTCTTATGCTTGTTTAATTTCCTGTTTAGGCATGGTCTTAGTTATTTAGATAACTCATATATTGTTTATTGCAACAAATGGTGTATTCCTATGTTCCTTTGTAGACACCACACGCACACAAAGGCAAATAAAGAATTGATTGATACCTGAGTGACTAGACTGGACCTGTTCTTACCGACAGCCCCATTGGCTTCAAGCTAGCTACCTTGTTATCCCCCCACTCCTTTTCATATTGACTTTAACTTGATCATATTTACCAGTCTTATCTCTCTCCTGCTGTAGATGAGCAAATCCCTGGACACTCGTCCACACACCAAGAACTGGACTGAGATCAGGATTGACTCTGATGTGAATGTGAACTCTCTGTATAAAGCTCTGACTGAACTGAAGAAAACTCTAGATGAGACTCTACATGAAAAACTCAGTCAAACTGGTATGTGAATATCAAATACAGTGTATAGAGTGTTTTGTTATTACATTTTTCAAGGAATATTATGGGTTGAATAAAAAGTTGGTGATCATCACATTTATTTTATCTCAGTCTGTTTAAAAATATAATCATAACTTAAACTTGTCATGTCAGCATTAGACTGATATGATAAAATCCCTAACTAAACGTCTATGTAAAGTCATATCCAAACTTTAACTGATGCCATAACCAGTTATTGCAATATTACTTTAACTTACTTTAGAGATATGCAAGTGACAGAAACTCTTTCACATGTCAGACACTGGACATTAAACATTAACAGATGTTTCCATTCACTCAAAAACACATAAAATAACACTTCATTTCAATATTTACTTTCCATTTCCAGCCTTTTGCAAAGTGTGCGATCTCTAAATAAAACTGCATAATTGAACTAATTCTCTTCATATAAATAGGTATCCTTCTTTCCTTAATTTATGAGTGAAATGTCCTCATGCCACTGATGCTGCCAGTAGAGAAACTGTTAACCTGAAATCACTGCTATAAATAATTCATCATTATTCTGTCATCTGTGTCCACAGGGTTGGAGTTTGTGCAGAACTTTGCAGGTACAGTGTGACTGACACCATTTTCTTCAATACACTTACAATACATTGTTTATAATCATAATCATATAATTATATACTCTATCTGAAAATGTTTGTTCTGAAGTTGACTGATAATGTCTGATCTCTCTCAGTGGATGTGACTCTGGATCCTGATACAGCGAATCCACGTCTCATCCTGTCTGATGATGGAAAACAAGTCAATCATGGAGACATTTGGCAGTACGTCCCAGAAAACCCAAAGAGATTTGATAAGAGTGTTTGTGTTCTGGCAAAGCAGGGATTCAGTTCAGGGAGATTTTACTATGAGGTGCAGGTGAAGGGAAAGACTGAGTGGGATTTAGGAGTGGCCAGAGAATCCATTAACAGGAAGGAGGCGATCAAACTGAGTCCTGAGGATGGATTCTGGACTGTGGTTCTGAGGAATGAGAATCAATATTATGTTTGTGAAAATCCACCTGTCTCTTTATCTCTGAGAGTGAGACCTGAGAAGATTGGTGTGTTTGTGGATTGTGAGGAGGGTCTGGTCTCTTTTTATGACGTGGAGTCCAGATCTCATCTCTACTCTTTCACTGGTCAGACTTTCACTGACAAACTCTATCCGTATTTCAGCCCGTGCCTTAAAAATAAAGGTGAAAACTCAAACCCACTGATCATCACTACTGTCAGATGAAACGAACTAAATAACATAAACTCTCAAAAGATTAACTATGGATGTGCTGTTTAAAGAATATCTAAATAAAAAACAAAAATATTTGCACTAAGCACAATTAATAAGTTTTACATTGTAACTATTAAGAAAATTAATATGTGATACAAGCGGACAAAATAAATGTATTCAGTCCCTTAAAAATCAACTATAATGAAATATTTGTGTGTAATATACACACGTGTAAATGGCTAATTTGTTACACATCTATATATTTCTTTTGTCTTACATGTCATTAATACTTCACTTGTCAAATCTACTTAAATTTGACATAATATGCTTTTTAAATTACATGGTGAAGTTCTACAAAATGCAAAATTTACAAACTTTCCAGTGTTTCCACAAAAATTTCTGAAGCCATTTTCTCTCTCTTCTCTCCAGCTGTTAACATTGAATTACTTGTGAAATGTGTTTGTGTTAACACATTACAATTTATATCCACATATAGAACAGATTTATTAACATACTTGTTTTAAATGCTTATAAATGAGCAGAAATACCGTAGTAAAACCTGCTGTCATCAGAAACACACAACAGGACTAACATGTCAGGTCACATCTCACCATCGATAAAAGGAAAAACAAAGAGAAATGCATCGTGCATAAAGAAAATGAATCATACTTTAGGACTATTACTGTAATCCAAAAAAATATTTGGAGACACGAGATGGCACAGATCTGTTTCCTAATGTTCCCATTTATATGCAATGTTTCTTTTGTTTTACAATCTGATGGATAAGTCAAATAATAATCATAAAGTATAAATTATATTTACATTTACCCAGAATACAACTTTAACAAATTTATAATAAGGTATGAATGTAGTTAATTGAACCTGAATTATTTTTATTTGGAAATTATGTACATGGGATGCCAGTAATGACCAATGAATGTGTTTTTGAAAAAAGCTGTACTTATTTTATTTAGAAATAGCACTCAATAAAAACTAGAATCTTAGATCTTAAACTCATACCTGAACGAACTGAATCTGAAATGTCTTCATTAAAATGTTAATTAAAGCTGTTTTTATGAATGATGTGTGTGTGTGTGTGTGTGTGTGTGTGTGTGTGAGCACTGACCAAATCTGACTAGGTTTGATGGTTATCAGATCCGTTTTCAGTCCATCATCACTGTCATTAACCGCTGCCAATTAAACCCACAAGAGAGAGAAAACGTAATATTGACAGGAAGGACGAGTGAACACCAACGGGTGTATGATGAAGTCTTAAAAGTCTTATTTTTCATAAAGTTCACCTTTATTGTCAGCCGCGCTCTCCTCTGTCCTCGAACGAGCTATGAACTATGAAAACACTCCCTCAGAAACAGGCAGTGGGCTCAGATTGGTTAGTTTGGCCCGGTGTGTTGTGATTGGCTAAACTGTCGCTCACGTTGTCCGGAAGGTTAACACCCATTAGCTTTACGGGCGAAACGTGCACGTCATGAGCTCCGGTCCAGATGTAAATATGTGTCAAACTGCAGTATCAGTGAGGCAGAATCAGACCGAGAAACCCGCGATGAAGAGTCAAACAGAACCTCACCACACACGGCTCTTCCTAAACTTTTCTGAATGTTAATTTGCTAAATTTTTTTACTTTATACACGTTTGTTTTTACACAATAGCATCTGACTGGCAACAATAGCAACTGACTGGCTACTAATGTTATACTCAAACAGCATTGGCAAGTTTACGTTCTTGATCAAATCGAAAATAACGTCATAAAACATATATGAAAAATACGTTTAAAACATTAGTACTTATACAAAATTCAGGTCCATAATGTTTGTACTCATTTGTCGTAGACACAAAACAGTATAACTAGTAGCCTAGTGGCTATAAAGCCAGCGCTGGCATTTGAAAAATAACCCCACAAGGCTACATCTGCAATTATAGCTACATGCAAAGACATAGTCTTATCCTACTTACAGGTTGTGGCCCAACAACTGCTGCCTCTGGTTTTAAAGTTATAACTGCTTTATGTTTTAGTAACAGTTTCTTGTTGAATCCGGCATTGAATTCATGGAGATTCTGGAAGCTGTCTTCCGTAAATGTGCAGCACAGAGAGCTAGATTACAATCGTCATTTTCAGGAACATAATCAAACATAAATTGTATCCATTGTTGACGAAGTACAGCGTCCGTGGGAAGCTCGAACACAGAAGACCTGACAGCTGCGTGAACACAACACACTCGACGAGCCGCTGAAATATGATCATGCCCTTTTTGCATTTTCCGGAGGGAGGGTTGATGAATAAATTGTCTGGGTAAGTGACATCTAAAACCAAGCTGTAGTCCCAATCGAGTCGTTTTTGTAGGCAATTATACTTCCTGATATTTAAAAGACGATATCTCTGCTTACGCTGAACTTTCAGCGCTGCAACTTTGCAGATACTGTTCATGCACCAACAGCAACATTACACACTATTTAAAATCAAAAAAGTGAAATCGCAGTCAACCCCCCCTTTAAAATTTCCCCAACAGGAATCTTAAACGAAAATAGAGATGCCATGAATTGTGTATTTACTCCTCGTTCTACAGTGTGTGAGCGCATTAATTGAGCACCACAGGAAGTTATGTGTTGTTAAATGTATGCGCTTCATAACCCAGAGTCAGTTCCCTTGCAGAATTGCTGTAGCTTAAAATAATTAATCGCAAATAAAAAGTGCACATGTTAAAAGAGGACTGAGAACTTTTGAAGCTACTATAAAGATAAATCGTTTTAGGCTTTTTTTTCTTGTCTTTTTTTCTTTGAATTAAGTGAAACCACCTTTCTTGTTACAGGTTCTGAAATTACAAATGTAAAATATTTTGAAACGGTAATAAAATGAAGAAACATACCTAAAATGACCATCATCATCATCGCTCTGTTCTTCCTCACTGTGGTTTCTCTCCTCATCTTCATCATATTCAATGGCGTCTGCAGTCTGAACCCAGAGACTCTGTGCAGGTTTGACTGGTGGATCCATGACTGTCCCACACACACTCTCTCTCCTGAGCGTCAGTAAGTGAGTCCTGTGTGTCTCTGGATCTGTGTGTGTGTTCATAGATTTGATCTCTGACGCTCCACTGAATCCTGTCCATCAGTCACACACACTCAAACCTCTTCCAGCTCCTGAGGAACACAGAATCACAGCGACTTTCAATGTATTTAACAACTTTTCCTCTGAAGGACACTATTTTAAAGAATAATAAACTGTTGTCAGACTGGATGTAACATTTTTTAGATATGTCAAAATAGCAGTAGAGATTGGGTCGTTCTCATTACACTAATGTCTGACAGGAATGCTGGAAGCTTCTCGTTGTTCTGGTAATACTGACACTATAGGATACATAGGCTAAACATTGCACTCAGAATCTGCAGTCACAATTCAAGATATTTAAATTCTATGAATCGAATCAATGAATCAATTTGATTAGTTCAAAACAAACAGTTTCAGGTAATTCAGATCCCTTTAGTTTCTCTCTCCATCATCTTTACCTCCAGTGACGCCTTCTCTTACTTCAGCTGACAGATTTCTGCGATGAAACTATCAATGAACAGAAATATATTGTCTCCATTTAACAGGTTTACATTTTAAACACGCTATTCTCGAACTTCTACTGGTTTCTTCTGAATCTGTGAGCACTGTGTGAACTCATTTCAAAAGTGAGCTGCTGCCGCTTCGTTTTGTTTACAGTGGATATTAAACTACTAAACAGTGCATTAGCGCCACCTGTCGGCAGTATATGGACCAGAAAACACACCGTCATCTTTGGAGGAATCAGGGCTCTCAGTCATCGTTTTCAGCTCCTCCAGTATCCACACTTTTTTGTGATTTTACCGACGAGTACAATCAGATTTCCCTCAGACGGACCGCCAAAATATCCGTTAAAATTTAAATGGGCGAGATTCGCGGTTCAGATCGTGACGTGTGCACTCGTGCAGTGGCCAGACAACGGACAGCATTTTATCTCTGAGGGGCTGATTTTAAAAACAACTGACAATCCTTATTTATATTTTTAGCTAATCGGAAGCGAAATGTTTTATTGTTCTAGCGACGCAGGAAATCAAAGTAATTGCACTGAATCATATGTTTATTGTGTGCCTTTTCAAACACAAATAAACGGTGATAATATTTGCCACTGCACTCTTCAAAAAATCTACACGTAAGTTATATTTTACACGTTTTTAAACTTTACTCACTCAGCATGGATGGATTATGAACTGTTTCATATTTATGATTATGGGCGGAGCTACAGTTTATGACATCTGAGGTGTGTGTAAAGACTTCAGTGAAAGTGAAACTGAACCGATTACCTGGAAGCTTTCAAAACAACATTGCAGAAACCTTGACATTAACGATCAAATCTGATATTCATTCACAGGTAAGCGATGGAAATGTAAGTTCACTAGTTTAAAAGCATAATTGTTCATGTTCAAAAATTAAAGTTTGTGTTCATGTCTCATATCAGAATCAGGAAGTACTGCAGACAGAATAAACGAAGTACAGTGAAAATCATAACTCTAGATGATTTTCTAGATATGTTTATCTAGTAAGTTATTTGTTTGAAAAATTACAGTTCCACTAATTTTCTGTTTTGTCTTTTATAAAAGATCTTATGATGGTATTAAAATGTGGTTGTAAAAACCTGTTTAATTTGCTGTACTGTGGCTCCTAGTTTCTGTTAGGTTTCTGTATTTAGTTTCTTCAGGGTTTTTCTAACACTCAATAGTACCTGCAGTGCCACAGAGCCCATCTGAAAGGACAGACCAGCAGTCTCAGACCAGATGTTAAGGTTATAGACTCAGTGTGGTTAGGGTTAGTGTTGGGGCGAGTTAAACATTTTTTGACTATGATATAAACAGTGATACATTATTTATTGTTGTAATAAAATTTAATATGTAACATCCATAGCCTAATTTACTCAGCACATATAATGATCAAAATGTCTCTCTTCAGCAATGTAGAAGATATATTGACATTACTTATCTTTTCAGCCATGGCATCCTCCAGCGGTCCAGCACTAAATGAGGAGCTCCAGTGCTCCATCTGTCTGGAAGTGTTTACTGATCCAGTCACCACTCCATGTGGACACAACTTCTGCAAAACCTGCTTGATCAAGTGCTGGACAAACACACAGACCTGCTTCTGTCCACTCTGCAAAGAAAAATTCAGCAAAAGACCTGATCTCAAGATTAATACAACACTCAGAGAAGTTGTGCAACACTTTCAGGAGAAGCTCAATTTAGGAGGATCTGAGGTGTTCTGTGACTTCTGTGATGAAAGAAAGCAGAAAGCAGTGAAGACCTGCCTGACGTGTCAAAGCTCTTACTGTGACTCTCATCTGGAGCCTCATCTCAGAGTCCCACGTCTAAAGAAACACAAACTCATCAACGCTGTGGAAAATCTGGAGGATTATATATGCCAGAAACACGAG